TTTACAATCTTCTATATGTTGACTTCCAATTAAACCAGCACCATTTGCTAAAGAAGTTTTCCTTCTTCTGTTGTACCATTTTGGCTTCTTTGTCAAAAATCAGTTGTTCATAGGTATGTGGATTAATGTCAGGGTCTCTGATTTGATTTCATTGGTTCATATGTCTTTTTTATGCCAATATCAAGCTGTTTTTACTACTATAGCTCTATAGTAGAGTTTGAAGTCAGGGATGATGATGCCTCTGGAAGTTCCTTTATTGTATAGGATTGTTTTTGGCTATTCTGGGTTTTTTGTTTTTCTATATGAAGTTGAGTATTGTTCTTTCAAGGTCTGTGAAGAATTGTGTTGGGATTTCGATGGGGATTGCATTGAATCTGTAGATTGCTTTTAGTAAGATTGCTGTTTTTAATATGTTAACCCTACCTATCCAAAAGCATGGAAGATCTTTCCATTTTCTGATATCTTCTTCAATTTCTTTCTCTAGGGACTTAAAGTTCTTGTATACAGGCCTATCTTACTGATTTCAGCCTTCAATTTGTTTATTTCCTGTTGTCTCCTCCTCCAGGGTGAGTTTGCTTCTTTTTGTTCTAGAGCTTTCAGGTGTTCTGTTAATTTGCTGGTGTGGAATTTCTCCAACTTCTTTATGTAGGCACTTAGTGCTGTGAACTTTCCTCTTAGCACTGCTTTCAGGGTGTCCCGTAAGTTTGGGTATGGTTTTTTGTTTTGGTTTGGTTTTTTGGTTTTTTCGTTTTGTTTTGTTTTGTTTTGTTTCCGAGTAAGGGTTTCTCTGTACTTTTTTGGAGGCTGTCCTGGAGCTCCCTCTGTAGACTAGGCTGGCCTTGAACTCACAGAGATTCGCCTGCCTCTGCCTACCGAGTGCTGGGATTAAAGGCATGCGCCACCAATGCCTGGCAAGTTTGGGTATGTTGTACATTCATTTTCATTGAATTCTAGGACATCTTTAACTTCTTTATTTCTTCTTTGACCCAGGGGTGATTTACTTCAGCATTATTCCATTTCCATGAGTTTGTAAACCTTTTGAATTTGTGTTGTTGAATTCTAGCTTTAGGCTATGGTGACCCGATAAGATACATGGGATTATCCCTATTTTTTTTGTATCTGTTGAGATTTGCTTTGTGACCGAGTATGTGGTCAATTTTAGAGAAGGTTCCATGGGATGCTGAGCAGAAGGGTATATTCCTTTGGGTGGAATGTTCTGTAGATGTCTGTTAAGCCCATTTGAGTCATAACATCTGTTAGATCCCTTGTTTCTCTGTTAATTTTCTGTCTGTCAGACCTGTCTACTGGTGAGAGTGGGTTATTGAAGTCTCCTATTATTAGTGTGTGGGGTTTGATGTGTGATTTAAGCTTTAGTAATGTTTCTTTTTACAAATGTGGGTGTCCTTGTATTGGGGCATGTATGTTCAGTATTGGTACTTCTTCTTGATGGGATTTTCCTGTGATAAATATTAAATGTCCCTCATCATCCCTTTTGATTACCTTTAGTTTGAAGTCTATTTTGTTAGGTATTACACCAGCTTGCTTTTTAAGTTCATTTGATTGGAAAGTCTTTTCCCAGCCCTTTACTCTGAGGTAATGTCTGTCTTTGAAATTGAGGTAGGTTTCTTGTATGCAGCAGATGGATGGATACTACTTTCGTATCTATTCTGTTAGCCTGTGTCTTTTTATAGGTAAGTTGAGTTCATCCATATTAAGTGATTTCATGACCAGTAATTGTTAATTCCTGTTATTTTTTGGTAGTGGTGTGTGTATGGTTCCCTCTTTTAGAATTTTGTAGTGTGGGATCACCTATTGCTTGTGCTTTCCTGGGTACCTCCAACCTCCTTGGGTTGGAGTTTTCCTTATAGTGCTTTTCGTAGGGGTGAATTTGTGGATGGGTATTGTTTAAATCTGGTTTTGTCATGAAATATCATGTTTTCTCGGTCTGTGGTGATTGAAAGTTTTGCTGGGTATAGTAGTTTGGGTTGGCATCCATGGTCTCTTAAAGTCTGCATGTCTGTCTGTCCAGGACCCTCTGGCTTTGAGAAATCAGGTGTTATTCTGATGGGTCTGCCTTTATATGTTACTTGACCTTTTTTCTTTGCAGAAAGGACTTTTTTTTTCTTTCTTTCTTTCTTTTTTTTTTTTTTTTGTCCAGTCTGTTTGGTGTTCTGTAAACTTCTGTGAGCTTCTTGTGTCTTCATAGGCATTTCCTTCTTTAGGTTGGGAAAGTTTTCTTCTATGATTTTCTTGAATATCTTTTCTGTGCCTTTGAGCTGGTATTCTTCTTCTATTCCTGTTATTCTTAGGTTTGGTCTTTTCATGGTGTCCCAAATTTCCTGGATGTTTTGTGTTATGACTTTGTTGGCTTTAATGTTTTCTTTGACCGATGAATTTTTCTCTATTGTATCTTCAATGCCTGAGATTTTCTCTTCCATCTCTTGGATTCTGTTGGTTATGCTTACATCGGTAATTCCTGTTCATTTACCCGATTTTCCATTTCCAGAATTCCCTCAGTTTGTGTTTTCTTTATTGCCTCTATTTCAATTTTCAAGTCTTGGACTTGTTTGATTTTTTTTCTTATTTTTCTTGGCTTTCTTTAAGGGACTTACTGATTTCTTCCAATTTTTTCTTTTCCTCCATTTCTTCAAGGGAATTTTTCATTTCTTCTTTAAGGGCCTCTATCATCTTCATAAAGTTATTTTTAAGGTTTTCTTCCTTGTTGGGATCTTCGTTGGGATATTCAGGTTCTGGTGTTGCCACATTGCTCTTTAGGTTGTTGAATGTATTCTTGCATTGGTGCCTGCCCATCTCATCCTCCAGTCCGTGCAGACAGTGTCTGACTCTTGATCTGATCCGTGGAGACAGTGCTTGCGTCTCAGGGAGCTGCTGAGGTCACAGGGGATGGGTGGGTTGGGGATCGGAGTGGGACTTGTAGATTACAGGGTTTGGGAGGGGGGTGTAGCCTGCCTGCTGACTGATTAGTAAGGCTCATGATCTTAGATTTTTTTTTTTACCATATGATAACAAAGATTGATAACCACTATTTGTCATACTTAGATAAGTGAATTAGTCAGTTTGTGGGTGGGTGCTAAAAGTCCAAACAGCATGTCACTAGTTCCCTTCATCACATCACATGAATAGTAGCATAATGGTAGAAATGTATCAAGAGGGAAACACTTCATAGAAAGATAGAAAATGACAGAGTAATTTAGGAGTTGAGCTCTGGCTTTGATAAAAACTACTCAGGGATCCTATAAGAACTGCTATAATCTCTTCCCAGGACAACCTCCCAGTAGCTTCCAGTAGAAGTATTACTACTTCATATCCCTCCACTGGGGAACCAAGCTTCCAACAGATGAACTATTGAGGGGGTACTCTCAGACCATATTTAAACAATAATATTAGGGATAAAATTTTAAATATGATATAGCGCCTTTAGGGGCTCATGAAATGACTATTGGTAGGGAAACATGAGAGCCCGAGTTCAGATCCTAGTGTAGTAAAAACAGGCAGATCCCTGCAGCTTATTGGCTGTCCAGCCTGGTGGAATCAGTAAGCTTCAGGTTCAGGGAGAGGCCATGTTTCAAAAAATAAAGGTTAAAAACAATTGAAGAAAGGCACCTGCTGTCTGCCTCAGGCCTCCACATTCATGCACATGCATGCGTACAAACAAGATATAGCCCCTAGAAAGTCTTATAGGCTAATGGTAATAATAACTATATCATTTATTTATTGAGCACCTAGTGTTAGGAATTCTAAACTTCCTTTCATATATAGTCACTGTAACAATATGTGTCATGTGAAGAAATGAAGAAACTACAGTTGAGTAATTAGCCCAAGATCATACAGCTAGTAAGTTATGGTCATGACTTGTACCCATATTTAGCTTCCAGAGAAAAGCATGGCCAACAGGTAGATTTACCATGTTAATCTTAACTTTTAGAGCCTCTCATTTGTGAATGCAGGGGTTGAACTCTTCAGGGTAGAATGGGAAAGCTCTATTGTAACTAGAAACCACTTCTAGGTAAGCATTTTGGGAAATGTTGATGCTTCTTGTAGCTTATTTTGTTATTATAAACAAATATTCATTTTGTAATTAAACAATATATGTCTCTGAAAAATGGGAAGTTGAGCTATCAGAGATGACTGTGAAAGAAAATAGCATGCTGGTGCTTATCTGTAACCCCAGCACTCGGGAGACAGAGGCTAGGGGACTGCAAGTTGCCAGACAGCCTGGGATACAAAGTGAGTTTCAGGCCAGCCCGAGTTACAATATGAAACCATGTCTCAAATTAAAAAGTAGTGTGCTTATAAATAATTCCATATCATGTTGAATCATGATATGAAGAGAAGAATGACCATTTCTTGGGATGTTCTAAGGAATTTGGACCTTATTCTATCTGAATGAAGTTTTCAACCTCAGTGGTTGAAAAATCTTGAACATAGATCTTGAAAAGATCTGACTAATCTTTATTTTTTTAAAACCCCAAAAATGGTTCAGATACATAACTAGGAATGGTATAAAAAGCTATAGAATATGGAACATAGAAATGAAATAATAAATGTGTATCTTTAAGGCTTACATGGATGGAGAGAGAAACATCATGGTCCAGACCAATGATTACATAATAATGCATTATTAGTTCTCATAAATCCTATGTTGAGACATACTCTAGGGACATATGTTTGTCATTGCTTTTAAAAAGGACAGCTTTTGTTTCTCTGTTTTTTATTTCATTAAAACAGATTTCCAGGAGTAATTCTGTTGAGTCAAAAGAAATAAGTAGTTTGTCCTCAATAAATTGTTATAGTGTATATAACCATTTTACACTTTTCAGTATGCCAAATAGGATGTTTAGAATAATTTTTGCTAGATTTGAGGAAAAAACTTAGAATTTTATTACACTAATATTATTTTGAAGTTGGCCATAAATTATCAAAATTATGTTTATATTGTATTTACAGCATTATTTCATAACTTAATTTATCTTTAATAGATTGATGAACTCCCAGAGGGAGCTGTGAAGCCTCCAGCCAACAAGTATCCTATCTTCTTTTTTGGTACCCATGAAACGTAAGTTAACAAAATAGCTTAAAGTTTTAACAGCTCTAATTTGATTCCACTAGAATATATACTTATACATGATCTATACTATTTTATATGTTGTTAAGTCATTAACCCACTTACAATGTAACCAAACTTAACACTTTTTATTACTGTAAGGTGTATTATTTATTTTTGCATGTTGTAACAAAAACTATAACAGAAGCAACTTTAGGAAGAAAATATTTCTTTTGCCTCGTGGCTTCAGGGGATTTCAGTTCATTATAGCAGGGAAGGCATAGTGGAGTCTGTGTCAGCAAGAATATTTCGTGATAGGTTTTTACATGGCAGACTAGAACATGTAGAAAAAGACACGGGGCAGACATGGGTATAGATTAAAAGGTGTGTTTCTAATGACCTATCTTTCAGGCCTCACCTCATAAGACTCCACAACTTCCCAAATTAGCATCACCATCTGGGAACTAAATGTTCAAACGTATGAGCAGGGGAGAGGGGGCATTTCAAATTCAAACCATAAAATAAGTTTATTCATCGAAATCTTGATTACTGAAAGTACATCTTTGCTTTGAATGCCATTTCTGTTTCTATTCTAAGAATTGGTTATCAACCCAAGGTCTCCTTTCAGGACATTTGAAAAGTCCTACAGTGATTGACTTAACACTCCCAGTTACCCCTTCTGGAACTCTGTATATGTCCCTGTTAGAGAAGCTTCTTCCACTCATTTTTTATAGGACAAATTTATGTTCTCCCAAGCTCTTCCAGCATTAGACCTATAGCACATTACTGCCTTTCTAAGGTTTTCTAATTATGTTTGTTATATATAGATTCAAGTAATGTAGGCATTTATTTATTTATTTTCAATAATACAGAAGTGGGCACAGGTCAGGGTAGATAGACAGATTTGCTATCTATCCAGCAAATTCAGCACCCTCTCTCAGACCCTGCCATTCCTTGTTTGCTTGTTTGTGAGATCCTTGCTGTGTAGACCAGATTGACCTTGTACTCACAGAAATCCCCCTGCTTCTCCTAAGTGCTGAGGTTAAAGTCATTTGCCTTCACACACAGCTTGTTTGCTTATTTTTAAATATTAACATGCTTCAGTTGTACAGGTGCATCTTCTAGGGAAAGGGAAGGAGAGAAGAGTGAAAAACAAGAACGCCTTGTAAGGAAATGGCAAGAAAGGTCCATAGATCCCTTGCGCTTGTAGTCATTCCATTGACAAGAATTTGGTCACGGGGCCACACACTGCTAATAGGAGAGAAGTAATCTGTTAATGAAAAAAGAAGAGATGACATTAGGGGATAATTGACAGTCTTGCCACACCCTGACTGTACATTTTCATTTAAATGTTAGCAGAGTTTGGTGTGAATCTTAGCTTGCTGCTTCTCCCGTTCTGCCATCACTTCATTCAGATCTTACAAGCACCAGGATAAAGTCCTGAAGACAGATTATTTTCTTATGTGAGAGATAGTGTGTATCTTTCAGGAAATAAATGTTTTGTGAGGGCTTTTTGGTATTGTTTTGAGTTTGTTTTAGCTTAGTTTTGTGGTTGTTTGTGCAGAGTTTTTGTGTCTGTCTGTGTCTGTGTGCATGTGTGCCTGTATGCATGCGTGTGTGTTGCTGGATAGCTGCAATCCTCAAGGAGGCAAGAACTCTACAGCTAAGCTAAACCCAAGCCCAATTTTCATCTAATAAATACTGTGTATGTGCTATTTCTTAGATTGCTAGAAAACTTAGAGTACATGTTTTACCTGTAAGTACATAATGCTTTACAATACGTATTTTATTTATCTCACTCCAGACCTTATTTTATGTGCATATCATTGTTTTGATTTTTCCTTAGAATAACCTGTTCCAAATTATCTGGTTACATTTTTGGGACAAGGCAGAAGTTAATTTAAAAAAGAAATCACACCACTACTGTATGCACCACTTACTAACATTATGTGTTTACTTTTGTTCCCTCGGTAAGTATTTGTCTTGTAAGGCATTCTGTAAGTCACTGGAAGTAGAGAGGTGCCCTTAAAGACTTTGCCAGCTGTCACATACAAACTTGAGACAGCTTAGCCCAGTTATTTCTCTGCATATATGGATCAATGATAGTAGAAGCTCAAAAGCCAGAGTAATAATGTCTGTCACAGTGTCCTTTTTTTCTCATATTCAAGTTGTTCATCAAATAAGATTTCAACCTACCCACCCCTCAAATTTTATTCTTGGTTTTGTGTTTTGAGCATATTCACTGCCCCTCCCCAACTCTTCCTGGACCCATACCTCCTTCCCTATTACTCAACTTTGTGTTTTTTCTTTTTAAACCATCAAGACCAATTTCTGCTTGGAAATATTCTTGGATGCATGGTGTCTTAGTTAGGGTTTCTATTGCTGTGAAGAGGCACCATGACCATGGCAACTTCATAAAGGAAGAATATTTAACTGGAGTGGCTTACATTTTCAGAGGTTTAATCCATTATTGTCATGGTATGACATGGTGGCATGCAGGCTGGAGAAGTACCCAAGTGTCCACACTGGGTGTGGCTTAAGCATATGTGAGACCTCAAGACTGCCTCCACAATAACATACTTCCTCCAACAAGGCCACACCTCCTAATAGTACCACCCCCATTAGGGGCCATTTTCTTTGAAACCACCACATGTGGTCTTCCTGGATTATGGTTGACTACCAGATTACATTCTTAGATAAAACTGTCTTTCCTTCTCCCTTATGAACAGGATCTCACATAGCCCAGTATGGGCTTAAACTCCTGCCTCTGCCTCCTGTGTGCATTATAAGTGTATAACAACACACAGTATAAACAGAGTTGTTAGTAATTTTTATCAGTTGGACAGTGTGAGAGATCATTGTTATATCCAGTCATAAAATGAAATTTATGAATTATTTTAGCATGTTGACTGAAAGGTTTCAGTATTATCTTTTGCTGATTTCTAAATTCCTGTCTCTAGCTCCATAGTTTTCTTTAATCTCCAGAACCATCTTTCCAACTCCCTACTTGATATCTTCTTTTGAGTGTCTTAACTTGGATTTGTGATTTTATACCTAACAATGAGCTTCATTCCAAATCTTTTCCTTAAAAAGAAAAATCATGACATTTCAGTAAATAACAACTCCAGCTTCCTTATTTCTCATTCTGAAACCCTAAAGATATACTCAAATTCAGCTTCTCCATCAAAGGTTCTTTCCTAAGAATGAATTCTGGATTTGACTGTTTCTTCATTACTTTATTTTAGTAACCTTCTGTTACTTCTTGCTTACATCCTAGTACCTAACCTTCGCTTGCTTTCCAACATAACAGCCAAACGATGCTATTAACACATCTCAGAACCTTTTGTGGCTTCCCCTATTAATTAAACTTTGCAGTGAGCTCCAAGGCCCTAAATAATCTTTAACTAACCTGTTACCTCTCTAACTTTATCCATAATCGTTTATTGTTGCTAGTTTCATTCTAGCTGCACTGACCTCTTTTGTGTTTCTTAGACACATAGTTCTTTCCCAGGCAACAGCACAGCTGATTCCTTCACCTCCTTTACTTGGATGTTCAATTTCTGGTGATACATTCTCTAATCTTTAAAGCTAAAATTGTAGAAGTCATCCCTAGTCTATCCATCTGGGATGGCTAGTTTGGATTGCCAACTAGACTCACCAGGGAAAGAGTTTCATTGAGAGATTATCTAGAGTAAGTTGTCTTGTGGGTATGTCTGGGAGGGGTTTTCTGAATTGGTTATTTGAGCTAGAAAGACCCACCCACTGTGAGATCATTATTCCCTAAGATGGATTCTGACTATAAGAGTGGAGTGAGTTGCCAGGCGTTGGTTTGGCACGCCTTTAATCCCAGCACTCGGGAGGCAGAGGCAGGTGGATCTCTGTGAGTTCGAGGCCAGCCTGATTGATCTACAGAGCTAGTTCCAGGACAGCCTCCAAAACAATACAGAGAAACCCTGTCTCAAAAAAAAAAAAAAAAGAGTGGAGTGAGTTGAGCATCATTGTGCATGTATTAATCCTTTGCTCTCTGCTCAACACTGTGGATGTGATGTATCTCGCTGCTTCAGATCCCTTGCCTTCCCTACAGTGATGGATGATAACCTCAATTGTAAGTCAAATAACCCTCCCTTCCTTAAGTTGCTTTGTCAGGGTGTTTTATCATAGCAGCAGGAAAAGAAATGAAGACAAGAAATATGTATTTTGTTTACATTTTAATTGTTCTACTCTCAGCACTACTATCAGCACCTAGGCTTCCTGAAGGCAGCAATGGATGTTCCATAATCTTTGTGAAATTCCCAACACCATTACAACAATGCCTGACACATTATAGGTGTTTAACTGATATTTGTTAAATTCATAGGTAAAACTTTCATTTGAAATGTCTCAAATTTCACTCACAAATAATGTGTTAATGATTTTTTAGAGTGCCCCACTCTGCTAGCTACAGAATTTAACTACTTTTTAATGCTTACCATTAATTTAGTTAAGAAAGATTTAAATTAGATATGATTCTGTTTACTTTGCTACTTCTGGGTTGTCATTTCCCCTCCCTCTTACCCAATTTACAGAAATAATATTGACTAATTATTCTAAAGTAGTATACAGAATTGAATCATTTTTATTTCAGTATTTGAATTCCTATTGTGTCTCACAAACTCTTACCTACAGTAAGATTAACATAAATACTAGCTTAAAATGATGATTGAAACAATCAAAGTAAATAACTCTAATTCTACCTGTGTAACTAGAAAACAATTTTAAACAAAGCATATTGGTAATATTAATGTAAAGTCAAAATTGTACAGTCTAGAGTTGCTGGCTTTACATACTCCATTTTTATTGCTTTGAAATATGTTTCTAAAGCATCTTGTGATATGTGCTCAACCCACAGGGTTTATATATTCTTTAAATATGTTTATTGTAATGTGCTTTGACATCATATTTGATCCTGATATTTAAAATACCTGTGTTTGAAGGTCAGCATGTCAGTTCTATTTCTGATCTATCTCTGCAGTGCATTTCTAGGTCCTAAAGACCTTTTCCCATATAAGGAATACAAAGACAAGTTTGGGAAGTCAAACAAACGGAAAGGATTTAATGAAGGATTATGGGAAATTGAAAATAACCCAGGAGTGAAATTTACTGGGTACCAGGTAATAGTTTGCATCACAGTCTCTTATACTCTGATTCCTTGCTTTTAACTCTTATGCATCTTTGTAAAATGTTCTTCATGTTATTACTTCCATTCATTTGACGTCAGAGTTCTTCTTTGGCAATAGCAGCATTTTTTTTTTCTATTAAGTACCAACTCTTGCCCAGAAGAGTCTGAGTAAGTGGCCATTGAAAAATTGACTTTGGCAGCCATTTGGTTCATTAATTGAATCAAGATTTCACATGCTACTGAGGTTAGCTTCAAATTGTTGACTACAAGCAACCCTCCTACCTCAGCCTCTCAAGTAGCAGGAATTAGAAATGTGTGCCACTATGCCTGGCTGTCATAGTCCTTTATTTTGAAAATATTAAAAGTAGGCCAAAGTCTTTGAAATTGAAACAGAGTGTGTTTCCACAGTTTGTGTTCTTCTTTTTCAAACTGTAATTGGCTAATTTTTTCCCTTAGACAATTCAGCAACAGAGCTCTTCAGAGACTGAGGGAGAAGGTGGAAACCCTGCAGATGCGAGCAGTGAGGAAGAAGGTGATAGAGTAGAAGATGGAAAAGGCAAAAGGAAGAATGAAAAAGGAGGCTCAAAACGGAAAAAGTCCTACACTTCAAAGGTCACTGACAACCTCCCTCCTGATTGTAGTGTTTCATGCATATTCACTGAAGGTTTTCAAATTGGGTGGGAGGTATAGCTCCTTGGCAAAGTGCTTGCCTAGAACATGTGATTCAGCCTTACCCCTCCCCCAACACTACAAACTTTAGAGGCAGTAGTCTACCAGAGAGAAAGACAGAAAGCCTGAGGTAGGGAAACTGCTACTGGCTCTTCAAGGCTGATCTGCCCTGAAAGTACTACATGCTTAGTTGAAGAAGGAAGGTGATAAGCATATAGGCTGTGCCAGACACTGAGTTGAACTAGGCATGCAGAAGTGAGGAAATCTGACTCCATAAAAAGGGAAAGGGGGCAGAATAAACAAGTAAATAAACAAATGTAAATTGTGAAAGGAGTTAAGAGGCAAATGAATGAAAACAGTAGAAAAATGAAGGTGAAGTTTATGCTGAGACTTGAAAGAAGGGTATGGAAGGGGAGCCATGCGTGACAGAAGGAAGGAAGCAGCAAGAAAACTGAGAGGAGGAGGTCTCACATGTACCTGAACTCAGCACAGGTGCCCCTAGATCTTTATACAGGAAAATGCTGAGTAGTGCAGACTTGTAAGGTGTATTAATGAGTTTAGATTTTATTTCAAATGTAGCAGCAATGACATGATGGTAGATTTACAAATGGAAATAGTAGGTTTGCCATACAGTATTTTAGATATGCTGTCAAAAAAAGGAATTCATGAGATTTGTAAAAACTTTCTGTCCTTTAGAAACTAAAAGTGAGATAAATGGATCCTTGAAGACCTAAGATTGGTTTAGAATTCAGTAGAGACTGTCACATGATTGAATACTTGAAGAAATTATTTCTGCTTTGATTCTTGTGTTTATTCACTGAGAAAACAAGTACCAAGAGCTTCTCAGACTATTAAAATTTTACTTTGGCAATTGTTAAAACCCACCTTGCTGACGTATAGGTAAAATTGTATCCATGTATTGTTAATTTCCTATGTACCTGGTTGTGTTATGTACTGTGTACCTTATTGATTACTAACATGATTTCAGGGGCTGGAGAGATGGCTCAGTAGGTAAATTGCTTACTACACAAGCATCTGAATCAAGTTTAGATAACCTAGCACCCGCCTAAAGTCTGGACCCCTATGGCTGTAACTCTGAGCTGATAGGGTAGGTGACACAGGATGATCCCTGGAAGGGTCTTTCTGGTCAGCCAGGCTAGCCCAGTGAGGGAACTCCAGGTTCAATAAGAGACCCTACCTAAAAATACAAAGTAGATTCAGGCCCTTTGAGGCTGTTGTGTTCTGTATACATATAGGCAACACTAAGTGGATCCAATAGGTATTAAATTTAAAAAAAAAAAATAGCCGGGCGTTGGTGGCGCACGCCTTTAATCCCAGCACTCGGGAGGCAGAGGCAGGCGGATCTCTGTGAGTTTGAGACCAGCCTGGACTACCAAGCAAGTTCCAGGACAGCCTCCAAAGCCACAGAGAAACCCTGTCTCGAAAAAAAAAAATTAAAAAAAAATAAAAAGCATATGCAGTTAGGAGGGGGAAATAGTAGGAGGGGTAAAGGAGGAGTGGGACACACGCACGCGTGCACACACACATATACCACAATAAGCAAACAAACAAAAATGATTGTCCTTGATGGGGATAAAGTTTATAAATGATAAGAATTTCCCTTCTCAGAATATTTCTTCCATTGCAGTTACTTTTAAGCTGAATTTCTTTTAGCATTTGGGTTTCACTTAAACATCCTTTTGAGTTATTTTTACTTAATTGATTGCCTGCTGAGCTTGTGTGGAATGCGTTTGCAACCCTAAATTATGTAAAAGCTACATAAGACTTTGAAGATTTTAACAATGGATATGTTACCTTTAAATGTCACTATTTCGTTGCATGTTTCAAAGATCAACAGTACCCAGACTCATAGCTAGGATAGAGTTAACATTTTACAGCAGTGAAGGTGAGGGCTAAAGTTTATCTGTTAAAAGGATGATTTAATTTTAATCAAATGGAATTAATTTTTATTTAATTGCAACTTTCATAATCACTTAAGAACTGTGTTTAATTTTTTTAGCTTTTTTATTTAAATTAGAAACAATCTCATTTTATATATCAATCCTAATTCCCTCTCCCTCCCATTCTCCCATGCCCTCCACTGATCCCCCCCCACACATCCCATCCCTCTTTTGCTCCATAGAAAGAGTGAGGCCCTCTATGAAGGAATCATCAAAGTCAGTCACATCATTTGGGGTAGAGCCTAGGCCCTACCCCCATGTGTCTAGGCTGAGAGAGTATCCCTCTATGGGGAATGGGCTCCCAGTGACCATTCATACACTAGGTATAAATGCTGTTCATTACCAAGGGCCCCATAGACTGCCCAGGTCTCCTAACTGACAACCACATACAGGGGGCCCGGTTCTGTCCTATGCTAGTTTCCAAGCTGTCAGTCTGGGGTCCATGACCCCTTGTTCAGGTCAGCTGTTTCTGTGGGTTTTCCCAGCATGGTTTTGACTCCTTTCTATGTTTAATTTTTTTGTTGTTGCTGATTTTACACACTGCTAGGAATTAAACTCAAGATCTTGTGCATGCTAGGCAAGTACTCTACCATCTGAGCTACTACCCAGCCCAGAATTCTTTCTTTTTTATATGCATTTATGTATTGAAGTGGAGGTAGGGTGCTTGGGTTTATTTGGTTGGTTGGTTTTTGTTGGGGTTTTTTTGGTTTTGGTTTTGGTTTCCTTGTAGGGGTCTATCTCTGTAATCCAGACTAGCCTAAAACTCTATTTATATCAGACTAGCCTTGAACGCATGGTAGTCTTCCTGCCTCAACCTCCTAGATGATGAGATTACAGGTATGAGCCAAGAAGCCCAGTCAGACTGTAGCTTTTTGGTGTTAATATCACATAGTCTCAAGCTTTCACATGTATCAGAATCCTGTGAAATGCTGTTGACATGCCTTAAGATCTGTTTGAGAACTTTTAGGAAAGGACAGGGAATCCAGTTTATAAGTCTGTTGATATGGAAATGACGCTTGGAGAAGCACCTCCTACTATAACCCGATTATTACCCTGTCTGGATTCCCAGTGTTTTCTTTTTGTTGAATATGGTGAATTTCTCTTAAAGTTGAATAGTCTGCCTTTGCACTTAAAAACTGGTAATCTTTAAACCTGTAACATCTCAGGTAAAGGGATTGTCTTTTACATAATTTCATTTACCTGTGAGGGGGAAAGGAAATTCAATAATCAAAACAAAAAGCCAAAGTACAGCTGATCTGAGGAAAATCATACATCGTTTTTAACAGCAAGTGTGTAGCTGATTCATGTTAAGCAAGCACTAACAGATACTGGGAAAATGTAGATTAAAAGTATTGTGTAAGCAAATGATTAACAGTGGCTTATTAGATCTTTACAACAAATTAAACTAGTAAAGATGCTAAAAGAGCAATAATTTTAGTTAACAAAGCAACAGTTAGATATAAAACCAATTCAGACCACACTGACAAAACAGGTGATAAACACCAATTTAAAAGAAACTTACAGGAATTATGATATGAAGAGCTTTACAAAGTTAGTTTGGCAGCCAGATTTCTTGCAAATAAATATTGTCACTCATTAGTAAAAGTCTAATAATGCCCTAGTTCCCATTAGTGTGATACTTGGTATTGTATCATGCCAAGTTTTGAGAAGCATAAACTCAGGGTTACTCACAAACACTCAGCACAAGCAATGTAGATTATGATGTTGTACATTAGGCTAACAGTGTCGGGTCAGGACTGTTATTTGAGTATAACCAGATAATACATTTCAACTGTTGCATAATATTTACTAGAGTAAAAAAGTTACTTTTATACTGTTATATGGGATCTTTAGCTGAACATGCTCCAAACTTTGTAAATAAATCAGTTTTTAATCTAAAAGGTAAAATTAATAACATTTTAAACTAACATTTTGGATGTGGTTGGTAGTTTTAATCAAGTAAAACAAGTAATCTAATTATATGTTCTGTTATGTAACTAGATATTTCTCTTTGTAGTTTAGATTTATTTCATGTGTGTGTTGCATGCATATATGTAATTACAACGCATGTGTGTATTGCCTACAGAGACCAGAATGAGGCATTGGATCCACTGGAACTGGAGTTATGAGTGGTTATTTACCACCATATCAGTGATGGGAACTGAACCAGGTCCTCTGCAAGTAAGCTCTTTTAACCACCGAGCCACCTCTCTGACCAATCTTTGCATTTACAAAAATGGATTATGTATGTAAGGGGCTGGAGAGATGACTCAGAAGTTAAAAGCACTTACTGTTTTTATAGAGGGCCAGAGTTTGATTCTCATCACTCTCATCAGGCTGCTCACAACTGCCTATACCTGCCCCTGTACACACACACACACACACACACACACACACACACACACACAAATAAATAAAATGATTTTTAAAAACTGATTGTATGGTGGGGCTCCAGTTTACTAATTCATTTCTAGAAGGCCAAAACAATGATTTGGTTTAGTTAGTTTACATTAGTTTTTGTTTTTAAGATACTTGAAGATTGATTGCCGGGTGTTGGTGCCACACATCTTTAATCCCAGCACTCAGGAGGCAGACGCAGGTGGATCTCTGTGAGTTCGAGACCACAGTTCGAGCCTGGTCTACAGAGCGAGTTCCAGGACAGCCTCCAAAGCCACAGAGAAACACTGTCTTGAAAAAGGCAAAAAAAAAATGTTACTTGAAGATTGATTAAAAATTATTTCCCCTCTCCTCTCTTTTTTTTCCCCTCTAGAAAAATGGCCTCAGTAGCCCAGGTTGGTCTGAAACTCATTATGTAGCCCAGTGATGCCCTTGAACTTGTGATCCTCCTTCTTCTACCTCCCGAGGGCTGGGTTACAGATATTCCCATTCATGCCCGGTATATATAGTGCTGGTGACCAAACCCAGAGTTTCCTGCATGCTAGTCAAGCACTGCTAACTGAGCTACAATCACAGCCCTTAAATCTTGAGAGAAATATGGATTTAACAGATAAAAGGGCAAGGAGGTCAAGTTCAAAATATGTTGACTGCATTTGAACAAGCAGCTTAGCTTCATGTTTTCTACCTAGTGGTCATTCACACAAGCCCATTAGTCATTGTTTATTGTTTATATGATTAAACTTGCTTTTTACTTTTTTAAAAAAAAGCTTGTTAAGAACAGCCATCATACTGACTCAGTTGGTAACTGCACTTGCCACCAAGCCTGATGACCTGATTTAGACTCAGGAACTACATGCTGGAAGGAGAAACTGGCTCTCACAAGATGTTCTCTGACTTCCACACATGCCATGGCAAGTGCATACACCATACAAATGCGTAATTCTAAAAAATTCAAAAAAGTCTTTTAAAGGAAATGTTAAAAATGCTAACATCTCACCATTATAAGTAAGACACACAATTGAATCTGTCTTTTTCTAACTTTAGTACTGTTTTGCCAAGCGACTTTTGCTGCAAACTGTAATTTGATTTCAAATGCGAGATGACAAAGAAAATGGATTGGTTCACCAGTATATCCTTAGTGTCTAAGTAATTATCCATAGTTTAAAGATAAATTGCTTATGTTGTGCTATGATGCAAAAGCTTTGTTAGGGTCTTTCTATGTGTGTCCCTAGCCAAAGAGCTGCAAGAGGTATTCTACCTTTGATTCTCTGCACCTTGGTTTCTATTACTATAATGTGACTTTCAGTTCTCATGTCTCTTAAGGTAGTAGGTACTCACCCAGTTGTATTTAGTCATACTGTGGGTATCTGATTAGTTAAGGTTTTTTGTTTGTTTGGTTGGTTTTGGTTTTGGTTTTGGTTTTTTGAGACAGGGTTTCTCTGTGTAGCTTTGTAGACCAGGCTGACATCAAACTCACAGAGATCCGTTTGCCTCTGCTTCCCAAGTGCTGGAATTGAAGGCGTGCACCACCACCGCCCAACCTATAGTCTAGTTTTTAATATCACATTTCTTGCAAGAATCAGGTGGTCGTCTTCCTTTCCAGCTAGTTAATTGAGGCCCAGAGAAGTAAAATGCGTTGTCCAGCATCACCTACCCAGCCTTGGTACACTGAACGTGTTCTTTGAATGTGCTACATTGAGCCACATACTACATGCAAACCAGCTCCCTATGCACCTCTTTTCTTACTTTTGTGCATTTGGAGCTCTGCTTTTGACTCTAATTTTTAACTTGTCTAAATGTTTAGAAGTCTTCTAAACAGTCCCGGAAATCTCCAGGAGATGAAGATGATAAAGACTGCAAAGAAGAGGAAAACAAAAGCAGCTCTGAGGGCGGAGACACCGGCAATGACACAAGAAACACGACTTCAGACTTGCAGAAAGCCGGTGAAGGGGTGAGGATGTGCTGATGATTTCCTTATCCCCTGTTAACCTAGAAGACATTTCCCTTTGGACTCAGTGTCCATGGCCTAGTGTTGGTAGACATGCAGTTTGTTGTATCCATTCACAAAGCCTGAATGAGTGGCCAGATGTTTAGAGTCTAAGGACAAAAGAGCCATGTACAAATTATACCTTCCTGGAAAATTGGAGCCCTGAATACTTATTTTTCAAACTACTTTAGGACTTCTGAGTATTTTAAAAGTAGTTTGTAAATTATTGAAATTTAACAGTACTGTTTCTTTTTATCACAAAATCAGTGTCATACCCAAAATAGAATATAAGTATTCAAGCTGTTTTTGAATACTGATATTTAAAAGATCTATAGAAACAGATTTACTTTCTTTGACTCTTGTTAACTTCTGTTGACTTCAGCATTGCAGGCAGGTCCACATTTGTAAAGTGGTAGTAAAGGTGGTTTGTGAACCAGGCTTTTCCCATAGCATCTTTCTCTCTAGACCAGTTGTCTTCAAAAAATAACCTATGAGGCTGAGCACTTGAATGATACAGCACTTACATAACAGGATTGACTCCCATCACTGCAATGGTTGGATGAGTGGTGAAACCTATGAAGTACACTACTACGCCTCTATTAAACTCTGATTTTATATTTGTTCTTACCTGTTCATATCAGCATTTTCTTTCTTCATCTCAGTTATCTGTCATTACTCTCAAAGTACATTTTTAGTTGTTCTCTTACTCTTGTCACTCAGGTTATCCTTCTTCAACTTCCTCCTCCTCCCTCCTCTCATTTTCTGAGACAGGGTCTTGGCTGTGTACCCCTGTCTGGGCTAGTGCTCACTGTGTAACTCAGGCTGGCCTCAGATTCATGACACCCGTGCTTCAACCTCCTGAGGGCTTGGTCTGCAGGGTGCATCACCACACTCAGACTGTCTCTTCTCTTGCACATTTAATGCCATTAGGCACTTTCTCCTCCTGACTTTTCTAACCAGTCACCAATCTCTTCTGCTCCCTCCATCTCTTAGAGGTCTCCTTCAGTCTGTCATGGAATGCTTCCTTAAAAGTTCCCTTATCCACTGGTCATGGTGGCACATGCCTCTTATCCCAGCACTTGGGAGGCAGAGGCAAGAAGTTCAAGGCCAGCATGGTCTACAGAGTGAGTTTCAGGACAACCAGGGTTACACAGAGAAACCCTGTCTTGAAAAACAAAACAAACCGAAGTTCCTATTTTTATTTTTATCAACATTGTTCAATTTGGCTTGTTTATGAATATTTTAATGGTGACGTTTACTACTGTGCTTTTTAAGGTTCATTCATTTGGCTATATGTAGTAGCAGGCTTTTTTTTTTATTAAAAAAAGTTATTACTCGGGGTGGGGAGTTGTCACAGCTTGCCATGGTGCATGTATGGAGATCCTAGGACAACTTTCAAGAATCCATACTCTCACATGAAGCCTGGGAATCAAGCTCAGATCTTGGGTTTAGCAGAAAGTACCTTTACTCACCAAACCATCTTGCTATCCCTTATTCATTTTTCAATGCTATATAATGCTCAGTTTATATAGCATATATAATGCTATGTGAATATGCTACAATTTATTTTTCAGTCTACTATTGATGGGTATTTGGACTATTTCCAGTTTTGGGCAGTTTAGAACTCTATTGCTATAAACACTTTGTCTTCTAGTATACATGCTAAAGTTTTCTTATGCAACTAGAACTGGAGTTTGTGGCTTTCATTTTACCAAGTCACTTTCTGGAGGAGTTGTCCAGTTTATGCACAGACCAAGAGTGTATTAAAGTCCCCAGAATTGACTTGGTGTCATCTGACTTTGACTTTGACAATATATTGGTGTGAAATAGTTACTACAGTAAGAATTTGTAATGCAGTATAATCAGTGATAAGTTTCTTTTTATGTTTATCAACTGGCCATGTTTCTTTTCCCTGATACACATTTCCAAGGTTTGCATATTTTCTCATTAGACTTTTTCTTACTCATTTATAGGAATTTGCTTATGGTATGTAATAGTGTTTAATGTTTGTATCTTATCTGTTCACTTTCTTTTGCTTTTAAAAAATTCTTTCTTGATTTTATTCAACTGTACACTTTGTGGTTTATATTTTCTGTCTTTGAGCATAACCATTTTAACCATCTTATTGAAATTATCACTCATATAGCAGCAGTTTCTTATGTTCCTTTGGTCAATTACCCACTCTAAGTTATAGTAGCTTTCTAATGAGTTATGGTATTTCGTAAAGCTAGTAGCCTAATATTAAACTTATATTTAAATATGTAATAGTTATGAACTGGGATAGAATGTAAAAGGGCCTTTTTTCTTGATGCAGAAATCTGTAAGAATGGTTTAATGAATGGATTATAAAAGGAAAAGTTGCTGGAGCAGTATCCTTTAAAAGGCAAAAAAAAAAAAGCATGAGATGAGTACACATCGTGAGGGAGTATGAGGGTACAGATACAGATAAGTGGGTACTTTGGAGGAGAGGGCATGAAAAATTCTTGTGTGGTTGCGTCTATTTTCTAAGGAAACAAGGTCATCATTTGAGAGAGTGCAAGAAAAAGTGCTAAAGTTTCACAAGAGAGGAAGAGGTTTAAAATAGTCACTTAGAAGAATACGATTTGAGGAATGAAGGTGATTGTTAAGGCAGCGGGACCAACTTGGGACTGGTGAGCATGAATTTGAATTAAGCAGTGGGAATGACTGTTTGCTCCAGGCAGATTGAGCTGTGCAGGCACACAGAGGGCAGATAATTCATTTCAGCTGGAGTGCGGTACAGGAGGTTGAGGCCTGGAAGCTGGCGGGGGGGGGGGGGGTAACTATAGAATCCAAAATATGCTAATTTATTAATTGGAATTTTTTTGGTGTTCGGTTTTGGAATTTCTTATACATTCTAGATACTAACCCACTGAAAAATGTATAGTAGGCCAGGTTTTTTCCCACTAGAGGTTGTCTTTCCACTTTCCTGACCCCTTCCTTCACTGTAACAAGAGCCTTTTTTAAAAATATGATTCCGTTTACTAGTTCTTGGAATTATTTCTTATGATGTTAAAGCCTTCAGAAAGACATTGTCTGTGTCTTAAAATACTCTGCCTGTTTTTCTTTAGTTTTTTTAGGTTAAAAAAGCTGTTAAGAATTTCATACATACATATAATGTGTTTTGATCAAACATACTTCCTATTTCCTCCCCTTCAGTTCCTCCCCTATTCTTTAACACACTTTCTCCTCTCAACTTTATATACTATTTTTCTCTAACATTTTTAAATTACTAGGTCTTACATAAAAGTCTTTGATCCCATTTTGTATTTATTCTTACATTTTTGGTTGTGAGCCTAGCCTTTAACAGCCGAGCCATCTCTCCAGCCCTTGTATTTATTCTTAAACAGAGTGAGATACATATTTAGTTTCATTCTTCTATAGGTGTATATCCAGTTTTCCTAGAACCATTTATTGAAAAGGTAGTTTCCTCCTAATATATGTTTCGGCAAAAATAAAAATTGAATGGCTGTGTCTGCGTGGCTTTATTTCCTGGTCCTCTATTCTATATTCCGCTGGACTTCATATCTGTTTTTGTGCTAATACCATGCAGTTTGTGTAGCTCTGTGGTATCGTTTGAGATCAGGTATTTTGATACCTCCAGTATTATTCTTTCTGTTTGGGATCTTTGGCTAGTTGGGATCTTTTTCATTTCCATCTGTATTTTAGGATTGTATATTCTAATTCACTGAACAATGTAATTTTTGGGGTTTGATAGGAATTGTATTGGATATGTATATCACTTTCAGTAATGTAACCATTTTCACAATAGTGATTCTGCCAGTCCATGATCTTGGAACCCCTTCCATCTCTTGGTTTCCAGTTGCTTTCTTCAGTGTCTTAAAGTTTTCTTTGTGAAGGTCTCCCATCTCCTTGGTTAGATTTATTTCTGGGCATTTTACTTTTCACGAAACTATTATAAGTTAGTGTTTTTCTCTGATTCTCAGCAAATTCATGATGAGCATATAGCAAGTTTTATGGGTAATATATATGCATATATGTAGCAAGTTTTCTGATTTCTGTATGTTATTACATATTTATGCTACTTAATGTTTATGTGATCTAAGGATTTTCAGGTGAAACCTTGAGATCTTTGAAGTTTACGATTGTCAGCTGTATATAGGGATGACTTCTTCCCTCCCTACTTTTTATTTCTCCTCTTATGAGTAGTAGTGTCCTAAACGGCACTTACATTCGGAATCTGTCTGGTTTCATTCTGTTGTTGTGATAAAACACTGGCCAAAAACAACTTGAGGAGGAAAGGGTTTATTTGGCTTACATTTCAAGTCAAATCCATCGTTGAAGGAGGTCAGGGCAAGAACTCAAGCAAGGCAGGCGCTTGAAGAGGAAGCCATGAGGAAGCCATGAAGGAATGCTGTTTGTTGGCTCACAAACTGTCTTTCTTACTGGTTTGTGGTCAGCTAGCTTCCATATACAGCCCAGAATCACCTACCTGGGGATGGTGCTGGCCACTGAAGGCTGGACCCTCCCACATCAATCTCCAGTCAAGACAGTTGCTCTGGAACATGGCCACATACAGTCTGATCTGGGTAGTTTCAGTTGAGACCTCTAAGACAGCTGGTGCTGATGAGGATGGGATCTGAACTATTCACGTTTTGATTTAATAAAATCCCTTAGACTATTTGGACCTCACACTGTTTTTTCTTGTTTGGAAATACTGGCTATTACTTCCACAAATGTTGATCTGTTTAGTATATTTTAACCATGTCTCTGAATATCACTGTCCTTTTAGACATCTTTAAATGTCAAAAGGCTATCATATAGAAGATTTGAAATTATAATTTTCACTTAATCAAATTTTATCACTGGCAGCAAATACTGTCTATTTTTTCCTATGAATTAGTAAGTCGCTATATTTTTTACATAGCGGCCATTACTAAAGCCTTTTATCAGTGTATAATAACTACACAGATTCATTAGGAAGTTTTCATCCATGTATACCGTTTTTATATTTACCCAGGCCTAGTTCTTGTTTCCTCCCACCTCCAGCTTATCCCTTTCCTATTTTACATCTAGAATCTATATGATTTTTTAAAGCCATATTTGTCTTCCCGTTTGTTTTTCAAGACAGAGTTTCTCTATGTGATAGTTCTAGCTGTCCTAGAACTAGCTCTGTAGAGCAGGGTGCCCTCAAACTCACAGAGATACACTTGCCTCTACCTCCCGAGTACTGGGATTAAAGGTGTGCACCACCACCACCTGGCCTTATTTGTCTAAGTCTTATTTATATCCTTTTGTTCCAATCATTTTCCCTCAAACAGCATAGTTTCTTTCATTCTTTTTACCGAATGTGTGTGTGTGTGTGTGTGTGTGTGTGTGTGTGTGTGTGTGTCTGTGTCTGTGTCTGTGTCTGTGTCAGGTTTTCTTTATCCTTTCATAGGCACCTAGCATGATTCCATAACTGGGTTATTGTAAGTGCCACAGCAAACCACAGCAAACATGGGTGTATAGGTACCTCTACCATACACTTTGATTCTTTGTGTATGTATTCAGAAGTGCTATATATGATCAGCAGTAATTCTGTCTTCTTGTTGTTGCTGTTGTTGTTTTTAATTTATATGCATGCCTGTGCATATGTATGCCAGAGGGCAACATTAAAAATTCTCCATCACTCTAAACCTTTAAAAAAAAAAAGACAATTTGTCACTGAAACTTTAGCTCATAGATTTTTGCTAGGCTGGCTAGCTAGTGCCTCCCCATCTCTGCTTTCCTCTGCAAGCACTGGCATTACCAATATACACTGCTATACCCATCTTTACATAGGTGCTGGGGATCTGGAACAGCAAGTACTTTATTTACTCATGGAGCCATCTCCCCAGCCCTTATTTTTAGTCTTTTAAAACCGTCTGTACAGATTTCATAATAGCTATGCTAGTTTCTTTTCCCAACACTGTGTTTAGGGTTCCATTTTCTACCTGTATCCTCGCAAATACAGTTACAGTTTTCTTGACAGATAGCCTTTCCTACTAGGATGAGATGAATTCTCATTGTAATTTTGACTTACATCTTACTGCTCAACTCACCAACTATCAAAGTCTTTTGGGGGGGGGCATTTCAAGACATGCTTTTTCTATGAACTCCCTCTGTAGACCAAGCTGGTCTTGAACTCACAGAGATCTGCCTGCTTCTACCTCCTGAGTATTGGGATTAAAGGTGTGTGCCACCAACGCCCAGCCAAATATCCAAATCTTAACATCAATTTTTTTCACATAAAATGAAAAATTATTTTGGCTTCTGCCTGCCATATTTTGGTTACCCATTAGCTTTGCTACCCCATAAAACTTTTCAGTGTGCCTTCCATTGAAATGCCTCAAGATGGAATCTGATTGAATCCTCCAGATGTCAGTCAACATAGCCATGCAAGACATAAAAGGTAACCACAAAGCATGAGCACCACATTGGCTCCTTAGGTAGATAAAGTGTCAGACCTGGCAGATACCCAGAGTCCTATGTCCAGTGTAGACATCATTCTGAATTATGAATAGAAGTGAGTAGTTATCATAGACATTTAAAAGTCATAGACTCAGATGTTCTCCACAAGCATCCATTTGACAGTGCCTTATTTAAAAATAAGGAGGCGTGCTCCTAAAGTGGTCACATTGGTGCCACCATCTCTTCAGTGCATCGACGGTACTCTGAGACTACTGTTGGATCTGCTTCAAAATACCCGTTAGTATGAATTGAGCTGTTAAATGCATTTCCTGCCACAGAAACATAGAATTTATTGTCCTTCATATTATATTAATAAAATATACCGTTGAAGGTTTCTTTGGTTGATTAACGATTTTATTTGGGTATCTTCCTCCTTCCAAAGGAAGAGAGTCTTCTAGAGTATCTGTGAGTATAATCATGTCCAGTATTTTCATTTATTAACAAATAAATTACCAGGCATTGAATTTTTCAGATTCACAGGTTGTAAATATGATTTAAAAAAAATAGATCCCTCTAGTTGCCTTGTTTGGGGTGGGAACAAAGAAAGTTAAGAAGTCTGTCTCTGCTCTCTGTGGAAGTGGTAAGCTTGGTATCTTCTCTCCTTATGAAGGTCCTATAGTATTTTGATAGGGTAAACATGGAAGGCTTTGGTTAAGTGGGAATATCCACATGCACATGTGTTGATTGAGTTATTTATGAAGTAACTCAAGCTGTATTCCAGAAAAAATATTTGGGGTCTGAGTTCCCTTTTTGTCCATCCCATGAGAACTAGAAGTGATTAATGTTTTTAGGTTAATGAGATGGAAAACAAAAATAGCATCTCCTTGGGGAAATATAACCTGACACAATTTAAAGTGAATTCCAAATTTAACTGCAATTCTTGGGTGGATAAAGTTACTTGCCACCAAGTCTGAGGACCTGAATCTTGATCTCAGAATCCGCATGGTAGGGGAGAACCTACTCCTGTAAGTTGTCATCTGACCTTCATGTGTGCACTGTAGCATGTGCACACACATGCAAACAAACATATTAAAAAAATAAAATATAAAGCTAAGTTAAAATTGTAATTCTTTTATAAAACAGGAATATTTTTATTTCATCTTTTATTCTTGTGTTCAAAAGTACAAAGTCAGAGACTAGACATACTCATGTTAACTTTTGTACTTTGTTATGCAGTGTGTGCCACAAGTAACTAAATAAGTATTTTGGGTGATCTGTGGACCACATGAATTTATACAGCTTAACTTTCTAATAGTGCAGTCCTACAGCACAGATTATATCTATTTTAGCGGCTTTGTGTAGACCCAAAGCTAACATTTCCTTAAGTGGCACAACATGCACACCACTACACATTCCTCCCTACCAGAGAGTAGACAGTTTACTTTTGTTTTGTTTTTTGAGACAGGGTTGTTTCCCTGTGTAGCTCTGGCTGTCCTGGAACTCACTCTGTAGACCAGACTGCCCTGGAACACAGAGATCCACCTGTTCCTGCCTGCCAAGTGCTGGGACCAAAGGCAGGTACCTCTATGCCCAGCTGACAAAGTTTACTCTTCAGTGTTATTGTTTGTTTGTTATAACAAAACCCTAAACATAGCATTTAACTTTTGCTAGATAAAAAAACAAAGCCTCTGAAGTGTTTTGCTAAGTATTTCTGCTGCCAAAATGCTGATGCTGGTTCAAACCTTAGAAAAAATAATGCTGTGCCCCAGAGGTGTGGTAGCTTCCCTCCTTAGTATCCTAGCTCATCTAAGGCTTGTTTTATTTGCTTTTTTACAGACCTAACTACCATAATGAATGCTGCATATTGAGAGAAACCACAAGAAGTTTAAATGCTTGATTGTCTAATTCTTGGATTTGATATGAACCAACACATAGTCTTTGTTGTCATTGACAGAACCCCACCCAGTATGTGTGTACATTATTCACATTCCTCTCTGTTCTGTTGAAAGGAAAAAAAGACATTTTGACCTTTTTTTAAGGTTATTGACTTAATTTTATGTTATTTGGTTGCATGAAGTTGCCCTTAACCACTAAAAATTATCAAGATTTTTGCACAGACTTTTCCATGTCTAGGCTCCTTTTCCAAGGCAGTTCTGGTCATCAGCTTCCGGCCTTTACTCCACCATCATCAAGTACTCAGTTAAATAGTAATTCTTTTTAGGTGGCTACTCAACATAATACTTAAGGATGGGATTTTCTTTCTTATAGAACCCAAGAACCAACTCCTAGATACATATTGTTGGTATACTGGAGGTGAAATTAAGTCATCTTTCCATTTTAAGGCCATGTGTAAAGTTTAACTGTAGTATATAATACCTGTTCTGTATTAGAAATAGCTAGTTGGAACTTACACTTCTCAAAACTCATGTTGCTGTGTACACAACCTGAGTGTATATGTGAATCTAGTGAGTCTTTTTGTGTTATACCAAAATAAAGCAAGGATTTATTTTTTTCCCAGTGCCAATATGATTTGAGCTAATCACTCAAGCTGTTCACTTTACACTTGAAAGCTGAAATTAGGAGCACCATGGGAAACCAGACAAAGCATTGATGCTTGAACATAGACTTTTAAAATAAATTTTTCTTTGGGAACTAGAATTAGAGTAGTTAACATTCATCCGCAAATGATTATTATGTGTACATTATTGTCGCTATTGTGGTAATAGAATCTTATTTATTTTTATGCCAGCTTATACTGTGAGAACACTTTAGTCAGTTTGGGTTCCATCAACTCTTATGCTTGTCTTTGGAACATCTTCCGTGTATGTTTGAGGTTTGTAGCTGAAAAGTTTACTGTAAAAAAAATTGAAAACAAAAAAAATGTATTGTTTTTACAGAATAAATCTATTGGAATGTGTACCGGGAGTAAGGTTTGAGGTTGTAAACAACTGAGTTAGTGTTACTTGGCTTCATACATGTAATGTGAAGTATTAATGTAATTCCTATATTAAAGCAAAGATTGACAGCAAGTTGACATTAGAATTAAGTGCAGGTGAGGATTTTATTTTTTCTATCTTTTTTTTTTAATATTCTAGATGTTAGGTTAATTGAAAACACTGGGAAGGACAGGAGTGACTAACAGTATGATCTGCCTGCACATCTAAGAAAACACCAGCTCAGTGGACCCTATGTTTACACATAACCTTATGTGCATCCCATTTTCTTTTGGTTTCTTACTTTGTTGAAGAACTAATGAACATGAAGACAAAATACAAGAAGGCCCAGTGTCATTGGGATGATGAAGATGGTGCTGGGCTGTGAGAGTTAAGTGCAGTCTCCTTATCCCTTCAGGGCAGACTGAGGAGGCTACTATGTTTTGGGCTTGTTTCTGTCATTTAGCAATTAATGGTTTCTTTATTGTATTTATACAGTTCCAAGTATGGAAAGTTCATTAAGAGACAGGGTGCCACATCAGGTTTTATCTTTAAAAGGTACTTTTTAAATTTTGAATATTTTATTCTAAAATTAATGAAATTCATCAAAAGACCTCTTTATTGATCATACTAAAACATAATGGAGAATGTAGATAATATTTTAAATTGGAACATATAACAGATTTCTTAAATAAAAAGTTCAAAATTTGTCATGAAAATGTATACATAAAATGCTTCAAATTTAATAACATTTGTCTTCATAAAACACCAAAAATAATTTTATTGAAAGTATACACAGAAACACAAGAGAAATATTACTATCCATCAATAAAACAAGTGTTCATTTAAGGCTAATAAAGTTGATCTGTGTCATCTTAGCTATTTAAATTCACAATAGAAGTTTTGATAGCATGTTTTTAAAACAGAAATAAGTGATATGCTTTTCTTATGAAGATACTTCAAACAACTTAAAAATAACAATGATCTGGCATTTATATTAAGGTTGTTAATGACTCATACATTTCATATGAAGAAGTTATTTCTCCAACCTGTAATTGCTATTTTGAATTATTTCATATGCATAGTGAATACGGTTAGTCATTTTTATGCTATTTGTAGGCACTAGAGTTGTAATTTTCACACATAATATGTGCAATGTTAAGATTCATGATCACATTCATAGAAAATTTTTGATATATTTCTTTAAACAAGCTGTTTCTCAACTTCAATTTCCCTTCAAAAATGAGAATATGCCCATAAAATACCATTATTTTCATTCACACATACATTGTAGAGAATCTTTATTCTCGTGAGCGTCATGGAAGGGAATGAAGTAGAGGATCAGTTCCATGTAACAGGGTCAGAGAGAGCATGAGGTATATTTATTCCACCTTTTCATCTGCCTTTGTTCTTATGAAGAACTCGGGATTGTAGGTACAACGGTAGGCCAGGAGCTGAGGAAGAACTCCATATGCTATGTTTAATGCTAAAAAAAGGATTTTTGCTTCTTCAGGGACTCTGTAGATATAAGCAGTTCTAGCATGAAGGGAAGCACCAATGTGAGAAAACTGAGCCTGTTTATATTAAAACAAAAAAAGAGTAAGCATGAGATCTGTTCACTTGGATTAATGATCAATTCTGAGTGACTCATTCAAACCATATGCCCTCAAAACCTGTCTTAAGAGCAAAATACCTTCAGATAATCTAGTCTTAATACACAGTTTTTCACTAAATTTAAGGTCATTCTTTATAAAAACTATTCAGATAATGTATCCTATTTAAAGTGTGGTTTTATCATTCCAGTTGTGTGGTTTTTTGTTTTTTTTGCCCAATACCAAACATTTCTAATTTGAATCCTAGGAACACTACATGGACACTCAGCTAAGTCTCACAAATTGGGTTCCAATTAAAAATGAAGTTGAGTTTAAAAGCTAAATTGTAGTTAGTATAATGAGCTACATAAAGAGAAGCAGTGGGAGTCTCAATGTTGTTGGGCAGACTGACTCCTAGAAGCCAGAGCCTCATCAACATGTACTTTTGTTTATTTGTGTATTTGGCTTTGTGCAACTTAATAGCGCTGTGGTTGTTTGTGAGATATACTTGTCAATAGTGTGACTGTGGAGGATTATAAAATGACAGATATGTACACAGGCAACTTTCTCAAGTCAGACTGAAAGCTACTTAGAATCATGAGGGGTCAGCGTAATCCAAGTTGCAGAGCACAAAGGCCAGGGCCTTTCTGTTTATATGCATAGACTCTATTCAGAATGTGCCTGTTGAGTTTTACTTGGCTTGTTTGTTCTTAGTACTTTTCATAAGCACAGAGAAAAACTATTAGAAAAGTAATACAGGCCATAGCAGGATTAAAAACCAAGAAAATATTTTCTCAGAAAACCTGTGTTATTATAAAATGCAAACTCCAAGTCTGCATTTTTTATGTTTGGCTGAAATTCCATTTACACATGAATAAAGACTGAGGGTTTAAATGTAATAAGTAGTAAATTATTGGTATACTGTGATCAAAGTGAAAGATAAAGGGTACTGTAATCTGAAGAGGTGGAAGTAACAAGAATGAATCACTAGAGAACTTGTTTTTAATGCATTTGTTACCTTACATTTCCTACATTTATTGTGCTAAGTGGTTTACAGATGAAAATGCTACTTAGCATTTGATTTGACCTTGACAAAAAAAAGGGCAAGCTTTTATAAACAGCATGTTTAGCAATTTGTATCAATGGCAGATATTTTAATGGGCTACAATTTATAAATTACTGATATATTCTGGATACCTCCAATATGTTTTTGCTACTCTAGAGATAAATTAAATTCCTGTGGTGTGTTGACAAGGACCAACAATCGGATTACCTTCATTGTAATCCACAGGCACTTAAGAGGGCTCTGCCCTCAGACACACCTCCCTAGGGCAGATGGCCAAAGGCCCAGCAAATGTTTGCATCTCAGGGCTACACAGACAAAAGACCTTGAGAATAAAGGGCACTTTGGAGACTGCCTTGAGGAGCTGCGGTTGTGGACAGTCTGGGAACTCTGAACAAAAACTTGGCTCCTGACACTATTTTTCTCTAGGTCCTACTTTAAATAGCTGTTTATCTGAATAAATAACAATTTTCTTCTGGACTAGAGGCCAGTTTTGAACTCTGGTTTTGTCAGATTTGTGGGTTTAGTGATTCTATCCTATAGATTATTGTGTACATCATAAAGCAAGCAGAAATACCATCCATAGTTTCCAAGAGTAACATGAGCAGTTGTATTTGTGTAGACAAGCCTGCCTGAAAGGTCAGTGATTCTGTGGGCCCTTTCCTGCACCAAACAGTGCAGCTAATACCTCATTTTCATGAACAGTAAGGTCATGGCAACATTTAAAAAAATGATCTGTGTCCTTAGATTAGATTGTACGCCTCCTGGGCAGATACTGTGTCTAATGTTTTGTGTGGCACCTATCATTGTTAGAGTTCAATAAACGTTCAACAACAATGGTCTTGTGACTGTCAGAATACAAGAGTCTTTAAAGCATTTCTCTAGCCCTATAGTAGTAGGTCACTACACAGAATGATTAACAGTCCTTATCAAAGGGTGTATGCATGTGAGAAAAGAATCCTGAGGCCAGTTGTCTGCCACTCCTGGTACTGCATAAGGGTGTGTTTGTGGCAACCAACTGAGTGGGCTCCCAACTCTAGCTTCCTCTAGTGTTAAGTGCTCAGGATTCTGGTACAAGAAAAACTGTATCACCTGAGGAGGCTTCCTTTCCCAGACACATACTGGTAAGGAGTACCCAGCACACTTGCTTCCCTGCTTGGCCTGTGGAGCTCAGCCTGGGATTGTACCAGAGCCGAGTGAATGCAGTGCTGCCGAATTTTGCATCTCGGTTATAACCACAATATTCAGTGATGTGACTTAATTCTAGTTTTCTACCTTGCAGAAATAAGAGACAACTGATTCTTTTGTCAGACTGAATGTTTAGAGTGTAAAATGAGGTAATGAAAGTAAGCAAAGGCTAAATTGTAATAGCTCCCTTTCTTGATAGAGAAAATTGGGAAAGGATGACCCTATCCTAATCCCTGTCCTCCCTAATCACAATCCTGGCTCCAAAAAGAAGTGAGGCTTACATGTCCACATGAATGTTAGAGGGCAAAACCTACAGATGTTGAGACAAAGCCCTATCTTAGCCCTTATACAAGTAGATAATCTAGAACCCTGATATTTTAGGGTTTTCTGAGTAACAGCATAGAAGACTTATAATACTGACTCTAGAGCCACATGGCTACATTGGATTATTGCTCCACCACAAAGTAGGTGACAAGGCCCACCTAGGTGGGGGCGTGGGTAGACATACAAAACTAAATACTAAATATCTGCTCATGATCAGGCACTCTGTTGACAACCTTGGCTCCTTGTTGACCTGTTAAGTCCTCTCTCAAAGGATAAGCATGTAAGAAAGTGAAAGGTGTAAGAAATGTCTAAGGTGCTTGATAATAAAGTACCAGAAGTGGGTGGCAGAAAGATTTCTCTTAGTAGCCTAGTTGTCCAGTAGCCAGTTGTCTTCCTAAAACTTTTAAGATATTCCCTAAAGGTTTCTGTGAAGGAAAAACATGAAACTTTTCCTTAAAATCAACCTCTACTGCCGGGCATCGGTGGCACACACCTTTAATCCCAGCACTGGGGAGGCAGAGGCAGGTGGATCTCTGAGTTCAAGGCCAGCCTGGTCTACAGAGCAAGTTCCAGAACGAGCCCCAAAGATACAAACCCTGTCTCAAAAACAAAAACAAAAACAAAATCAAGCTATACCACTTGGCCATATACCCAAATCATCCTGCATGTTACTACAGCCATAACTGGTCCAGGAAAGTCAAGTCTTTTCAACTAGACTGCCCACAGATGGACCTCTAGATCCCTGTATAGCCAAGAATGGAGGAAGCAGTGAACTGGAGGGATGTCACCTGACTCAGCCCCACCCCAGTAGATGTGGGGTTACATAATGCCCACTAGATGCCTGTCCTAAGCCTTTGCCTACTTTTTTTAAAGGTCATTATATGTGAGATACACTTTGATTAAATTGTAGAATTAATCTCAGGAGGCATTTTTCTCAAAATTATTTCTGGGAATCTATACCAATAATTATAAACAGGAGTTTATTATAATTATAGCTTTTACATGTCAGACACAATCATTATCTCTTTATATAGGATCCTATTTAATCCTCAGCGACTTCATAGAAAAAAAATGGTGATCGAGAGAAGTAAAGTAACAGTGGTCATTGAATTAACTAGTGACAACAAGGGGCTTGAGTCAGCTCTTGCAGTTAATCACGTTAACTATATTAACTCTGGTTTTTGTTTTTTTCATTTCCAATGATTCTAACAACATGTAGTCAGCCACTGACATCCAAGGAGCATTGGCGTCAGGACCTTGGGACATCCCATATATGTCAGAATCCTTGGATCGTCAAACCCCTTGCATCCTATGTACATCTTTCTACACGTCTTACATTAGATGACTTACAGTACCAAACAGTGCAAACGCAGTGTAAGCAGACATACTGTGTCCTTTAGGAAATAAAAAAAAGTCTACTTTTTGTCCAGTACTGATAACCATCATGAACCTCACATACTTTTCTTAAACTGGTTGAGTCTGTACATAACTAAGAATCGACTATACTTCACTTGATGGAAAACACTAGTAGTGAATTTATAAGGTCTGTCCTACTTCCCAAGTTATGCCTACAACTTTAGTCCTATAGCAAGCACTGTGTACAAAGAGAGATTTTAAGCCCCCAATGGAACTTGACCTAAAAGATTGCCTGATTTTTATTTTTAAATTTTTGACTGAGCTTGTACTTTGTGAAGAGATTTGGGAGGTTCCTAACACAGCCTGAAATCAAGGACCCAAATCACGCAGTGTGTCATTTAATGACCCAAGAAAATTTGATTTTTTTTTTTTTTGGTCTGTTCTGGTCTCCACAGGTATCAGGTACACAAATGGTGTATAGATACACATGCAGACCAAACACCCATATACATTAAATTAGGATTCCAGGTTTTTTGGCTTGAGGTGGTCGATGGAAGCAAAGCTATTGACAAGGACAATGGGCAACAGGAGAAATGGGGAGGACCAAGAGTCTTATATTTAGTCTGACATGAGATTGAGACAGGAGGATCTTGAGTTCAAGACTATCCTGGGCTACAGAGCAAGATTGTATCAAACAGGAAAATATGTTTTGTTTTATAGACTGATACTTGGTTTGCAAATGTGCTTAAAAACTCAAGTGTGCCTGTTTCCATTACAAAGATGCTGCTTTCGTTCACTTCAGAAGTTTCTCAAAATGCCTCAAAATCTGTTGCGCTAGTGAGATATCCAGGTGAAGTGGTTAAGTTTGGAATTAAACTTAGGAGTCAGCAATCAGGGCTGAAGAGACTGGTCACCAGATTATACTTGTTATCAAAAGATGGGAAAATAAAAGCCCTAGCCAAGGCCTTGAGGATTTGGGATTTAGAGGCTGATAAAGGAGAGCAAACTGGCTAAGCATTTCGCCAGGAATATTTCTTCTGCAGGTTCTATCTCTTTCTATAACTAGACTGAGTACCCTAGGAAGGATTTAACGCACTGACTCCATAAATACTATATTTTTCAACACTGAATTCTGGGGCTTTCTGCCATCATGGTTACTGTACCGTGACTGTATAATTGCTATGTTTTTCTTCTAGTGGGCCCTGCTCTCATTTCCAGGTCAGTGTTGCTTTCATTAAACACCCGCTGTCAGTCAGGGACTTGGCGAGGTGCCAAGGGGAGGGACTGAAGGGCAGGCTCAGCTTTTCAGAAATAGAATTTACACTAAACCAGCCTCCTTGGTTCTGTTGAGTATTGTGCAGCAGAACTCTGGACTCTTTGCTTAGATAGAATAGGCAGCTTGGGAGTACAGCTTTTAACTCTTACCAGTAGTCTTCATGCTCATGGATTGGGAAACAATTTTATAACACAGCAGTGCCACATGCTACTTTTGTGATCCCAGGGGAAATCCTAATTTCACTAGATAACTACATCTACCAGGTATCATTAGTAAGTTAAGTGTGTGTGTCTGTCTGTCTGTGAACTATTTCCTACTCACATTGAGCAGAGACAGGTTTCATAATTCTAATGGCAGCTAGGTCACTAGAGAACTTTCTCAAGAGGGAATATTCTGATCTGAGTACCTGGGCTAGCCCTCCAGCATGGACCAGTGTTATGTCAGGCATCCACGAACATCCAGGAACCACTAAGCCATAAAGTGCAATCACAAAGTAAGGAACAGAATAGAACATGTACGCCAGCATCTGTGTAAGAAAGAAGAAATGAGCAAGTTAACAGCTTGACCTTAACAAAAAGCAAAAACATGAAACATTTTCAAAGATAAATGCTAATTCCTGTGTAGACACCTCATTAACTTTAGAAAAACTTAGGCTTTGTAACTACTTGACCTGAATTTTAGGATAAGCCGCAGGGTCCTTTAGGTAGGGCTCTTGAAACTGTGTGTAGAGTCGGCAGAGCTCAGCTGGGCAATCCAAAGCAATCTAAGGACAAAATGGGTTTGTTATAAATAGTCTTGTCTGGTTATTGGGTTTGCTGATGAGGCTGGGTGGCAGCTTCAGTCATAAGATGCTTCAGTTTTCAACATCAACTGTTTGTCTTTACAGACTCATCAGTAACAGGAAAGACAAATATTCAGACTTCTCTAAAGGACTAAGTCTAGGTTAACAGTGGAGCATTATTCTGGAGACTCTGATATTCACAGCTTCAGCATCTAGGTTTAGTGAGCCAAGGCACAGTTCTTGGTATAGATGACCAGTTCCATGTGGAATAGCTAGCCAACTAGTCTCTCCAGAAGAAAAATAGTGCTTTGTACCAAATTAATCATACTAAGCTCTGCAAGATTCAGAAATAGCATCCACCTCTCTCCAGTGCCTCACAGAGCATGTGGCCTTTGGAAGCTATAAGGGATTACTTGAAAGCAGGGTCCTCCTGTGAAGCCCCTCCTGTCCACTTTGGAAAAGAGCAGAGAGCCGATTTCATCCCTGCTACACTCTAGGCCACAGAATAGATTTTGGCACACCACTGGGACAATCCTCCCTCAGGCACCACTCCTCATATTCTTGACCATAAATGAAATGTTCCACCTAGATGACAGTGTAGATTACAGGCTAGCAGTAGAGTTGGATCTTTGCCCAAGTGCTCATCTGGGAAAGTCCCACCCAACACACATGCACACATCTTTCTCAGGGGCGAGAGGAAGGACATGGAAGGATACAATTGAATCTCATTGTGTGGTGGTGTTGAACTTGGAAATTAGTGCAAACCAACCAACGAATAGGTTCCATGGCATGTCCTCAACTTGTGCAACACCAGAAAGTTTAGAATAGTTGGTAATTGTTTCAGATGAATATGAATAGCAAATAATTCTTAGTAAAATTTCCTCTAAGAATAAATTAGAAAGCTGGGTCATTGTGAAAGATTACTGATGAATTAAGACACAAAAATTGCTTATTGAGCACTTCCTTTGTACAAGGTCCTGTACCAAGAGAGGGTAGTCACTAATCTTCAAATGACACAAGGTAGATCCTAGTAGTTCACAGAGAAGAAAACGATAGGTCAGAGAGGTGGTCACTTTTTAAGGCACAACTAGCAAATGGCTAGTGTTCCCCACAGCTATGTAGGGAAAACCTATGTCCAAAAAACAAACAACAAACAAAAAGTGATAAAGGGCAAAGAGAAAAAACAAAAATTCATGAGTTTTTCATGCCATCCTGCCCCAAACCTAAGCCTAACTCAGTATTATCCTTAGCTGTGAGAAACTCACAAGACCCTGCACAGGTGAGCACTGTTACTCAGGGATTGCTTTATCCTGTCGCCCTATTCTTGAGACTACGTGGATGTTCTGAGCCACAGCTGTATTGAGATCTTAGGGTATCATCTTGACCAAAGATTCCAGAAGAGGAATTTGTCAGTTTGATTTTACACACACACACTATATCTATATATACATACACACATTGCATACACACACTATACATACATATATACACACACACATTGTATACACGCTATACATCTGTACATACATATGTACATTGCATATACATACACACACACACCTGTTTGGAATAGTATATTGTTTTTGATGTTATGCTTACCAAGCCTCTGAACAGGCAAAATCCAGTTGCCAAGAAAAGACACACAACCAACATTAAGTCAAATGGTCTTCTCAGCAGGGCCTTTGCTTGGGCTTCTTGAAGAACCTAAAATAGAGTTTGTTGCTGGAGAACAATGCCAAAGCCAGGGACATGTCTGCAACACTAACTTCCAAGAAGATTAATGATAAGTCTGGAAGATGCACAATTCACATCATAGACCACTGACCACCGAACTTCACAAGTATCTTCTCTAGTGCATCCCCTCTTCCGTGAAATGGAGGTACTAAGCCAGGTGATTTGAGGCCCTTCCAGCTCTAGTCCATATTTTCTCTTGAAACTAGACGTTTATGATTATGAAAGTAAGCAACATGCATTTGAAAAACGAAATTTTAGAATGTAAATCATAACTTGCTACTCTACTGTTAGTTGCTGACACACATTCCCAATCGTGTGGTTTTATTTGGTTGGTTGATCAGCTGTTTGATTGACTGGCTGGCTGGCTGGTTTTCCAAGACAGGATCTCAATTGTGTGACTGAAATAGACTTGGAACTCCCTATGTAGCTCAGGCCTCAAATTCATGATTATCCTGCATCCTACTCCCAAGTACTAGGATTAGAATTCATGTGTGCCACCATGCCTGACTCATATATGTTCTTTACATTTATATGTAAATACATATACTCACATACAACCTTTTTTGCAAAAATAGAATTTAGAACATAAATAGTTTTGCACCTTCACTGAATAACTGCCTGTGAGCCCATCTTCACTTGATTAAAACTTGAAAACACCGTAGAGACATCATCCTTGTCCTCCCACTGCAAGACACTGGGGCATTTTTCCACTGTAACAGTGGTAAAGAAAGCAGCTCTGCATGGAAATCTCTGCAGTGTGTCTGTGATGACTGTCTCAGGACAGGCCTCTGACGTGGAAATGGGTTGGAGGCAGGCTAAACTGCCTTGCAGAATGATTCTGGCGTTCTTGGGTTTTGTTTGTTCTGAGTGATGATTCCTAACAACACTGTGTAACAATGCCCATATCTGTGCTTTACCATTCCAGTAACAAACAATACAAATGGTCCTGTGTGTCTTGTTATGCAAACACTGTTCACACACTGGCATGGAGCCCTTTCAAAACAGTAGAGCGAGGACCAGCGTTACAGTTTACTCTTTCTTTTTAATACCCACTCACTCTTCAAAGACATGTATGAGTGTAGCTGCTGTTGGCCTGAGTTTACACAGCAGTTTCTAAATATTTACAAATTAACTGCATGTAAATTATAATGTACATAGAGCGAGAAGTAAACCTCAGTGGTGGAGTGGTTGTTCAGGACACTGGTGGCCATGAATTCAGCCCCAAAACTCCCCTAAAAAGATACTTTAATGAATTCTACTAATAAGAATAATTTTGGCCAGACATGGTGGCGCATGCTTTAAATTCCAGCCCTGAAGAGAGAGACAGGTGGGTACCTGTGATTTTGAGGCCAACCTTGACTACATAGAGGGTTTGAGGTCAGCTAGGAAGGGCTACATAGTAAGACCTTGCCTCAAAAATAAATAAGTAAATAAATATTTTAAAATAAAAATTGTTTTGTAAGTTGAGTAATATTCTATTAGTTTGTTCTCACATATCTGATAAATTTACAGAACCCTACCCAAAGATCCCATATATATACTGAAGAGAAAATCACTCTTTTAGAAATGAAGACTTAAGCAGACCTGCAAGGCTAGCCTTGCTTCAAACTGACCACCTCAGCAGTAAATGGAAGGGAAGGAGTCTTGGGAGTGCCCCTGCAGCCAGTGTCCTGGGGTCTGCATCCCCAGGGATCAGACCCTATGGCCCTCGTGCATCATCTCGAACACCTGAGCAGTAAATGGTATTACTGAAAGAAGTGTCAGGTGCTCGCACACAGGCCATTGACAACCCAGGCAAACCACATGCTTAGAACTTTATCTGTCACACTAACACAGAAGGGTGACAAGAGCCAAGGTGATCCCTGCAAGGAAAGTCCCCCAAAGTGCAATAGAAGCAGATGGGTTCGGACAGAAGCAGACCAGCTGCCACAATGACAAGGATGCTAGCAAATGCCAAGCTATCAACACAGTCCTATGGATTGAATGCCCCAAATGCTCTGTCCTCACGGGAGATGGAGCCCTCAGAGTCTGAAAACATGTAAGAGGTGCCAGCTACCAGATTGGAGCCTGCATTTATATTTAAGTGTAATAAAGTTACCTTCGATGGATAATTATAGTTTTCTGGTGGTTGATTATAGATTCTGAAGCCAGCCCAGACTGGAAGACATGTATATGGTATGCTTAAGAAGAATGCAGGGCAAATACGTGTTCCGTATTTTCCTATTTAAAAGCGAAAGGAGAAAATGGTCAAAAATCTGTTGGTGCGTAGCTAAACAATAATAGTTAAGCCACCTCCCACCACAAATCGCCTAAAGTTTTGCTATGAATCAGGCAATATTTTTATTAGATAAGACAAAAATCAAAACCATTAGCTGCTTCTTAATGATGATGTCCTATTTACAATATTAAAAATTATATTACTACATATATCCTAACTTTCTGCATGTCTAGATGACTTCTTTTACTTCAGCATGAAGAATCTTTATTTCTGGGTGCATTTGCCGTAAGTTCTCATAGCGTGTGAGAAGCAACATATAATACAAAGAGCTACAAGCAGGATCCATGCATTAAATGCTGGTTGCTTAACTAGCTGTTCAGTACATGCTTCTGAAAATTACTCCAAAGCACTTCTTAAAAGATGAACACACAGAGGGAGATAGAAATAACTTAGCAAAATAGTTTTTATAAGCTTAGAATCTATTAAAAAGCTTAAAAACAACTTTTCTATCTAAAAGCCCTATTGCAAAGAACAAAAAATGGCAACAATAAAAGCATTTCTGTTAAAATAGGGTTTCTTACCTACAATGTTTCCAGGCACAAGAACCACAGTGCTCATTATAATGGATCCAACCCAGTATAGGCCAATGGTTCTGTAGCTTTCTCTACAACAAAATGTTTTGATTCAGTGTGCTTGTCTTGGGATACAAAAGACGACCCTCAGAATTATCTTTCATTCTAGTTAATGGAAGTCCATGAATAGAAACTCACTGAGTCAAGGGATGAGCACAGGGAACCCTGACAATCAGGGACCACTTCCACATGTGACACAGTATAGAACCTTCTTTGTGAGCTTGTGCACTCATGTGTGTGAATGTATGGTATATGTGCCTGCACATGTATGTGTATGCATGCTTGTAGAGACAAGGAGCCTGTGTTGGGGTCCTTTCTCAATTACCCTCCACCTTATTTTTTTGATACAGGGTTTCTCACTGAACCTAGAGCTCTAGCCAACTCAGCTACACTTGCTGGAAGGCAAGTCCCAAGGACCTTCTTTTCTCCAGGTGCAAGCCCTCACACAGTTTACTATGTGGGTGCTGGAGGCTGAAATTGGGTCCTCATACAGCAGGCACTTTACTGACTGAGCTGTCACCCGGTCCCCTTGGTGTAGGAAATTATGCTTTCCACACAACACATGTTGACCTATGACATAGTCTTTATTGATTAGGGATGCATTTAGAAGGGAAAAAAGTTGAAAGATCGTAGCTTAGGATGTAAAGTGAACTTTCTGTGGCAACAGAGTGTGGGCTAAAGCCCCAGAGGTGACACGTCCCTGTGTTCTAAAGGGGCTGCTCTAATCTCAATGGTGGCCAATGTCCCTTCAACTGACAACCCAGAAACAACTCCATACTAGAGGCTGAGAGGAATCCAAAGGGAGAGGCCAGTGTGGAGGGCACTATGTGTTTTCTGCTCTGCTGTGGTCCCCAGCCCAAATGGAGCAACCTACCAGGGCAGGAAGAGAGACAAGCTGGTGTCCTGGAGAACATGATGAGGGAAGGTGGCGGGGACAGCTCATGGAGCTGCACTGTAGCCTCCCAGGGAGCAGAACTGAAAGACCTTCTCTCACTCAGGGCCATGCAGAGACTAGGGAAGTTGAAACTGTCTGCAAAATGTTCATAGCCAAGACTGGAAAGCCATGGTGGGCAGGGAGTGAGAATTCAGCCAAAGGTGCTGGTTATTTCTGAAGGTGGTGTGGCACACAGGTTTCTGTCACAGGCGTCCCCAAAGAGCCCACATGAGCCTGATACAGCTAGCATGTTACAGCAGAGAGTACTGGTACCCAAAACACTACAACTATCCCAGAATCTTCCCTCATTTCTTTAAAGACAGAGACATGCCCCCAGAGGAGCCAGCCACAGAGAATAGAGGAGTGTGATCAAACCCCATGTCCTTGCAATTCTTCAAACCCTAGAGCCACACCTGACCTTGAGGAGAAACTGAAGTGGATGGGATGGAACTCTGGGTTACAATGTGCTGGACTTTGAGTCCTAACGTTTCTGGGAGGAGATGGCTCAGTGGGAAAGGCGCTTCCTGCACAGGCTTGAAAACCCAAGTTCAGATCTCTAGCACCCACGGGAAAAGCCAGGCCTGGTGATGTGCGTCTGTAACTTCAGCATCAGGGTAAGGGCAGGTTCAAGGGTGCTTGGTGACCAGTCCGTCTGGCCAAAACAGTGAGCTCTGGCTGGGTTCAGTGAGAGACTGTATCTCAAAAACTAAGGGGTGAGTCAAAGAGATGGCTCAGTGGGTAAAGACACCTGCCAGCCTAAGTTAGGTCTCCAGGTTCCACATGGTGGAAGGAGAGAGCCCATCCCTGGAAATTGCCCTTTGACCTCCACACACCTACTAGAGCACTTGCTCTTGCATGCACGTACACACACACACACACACACACACACACACACGCACACAGGTACACACACACACACACACACACACACTAAAACATAATTTTAAAAAATAAGGTAGAGGCCAGGGGTTGGTGGCCACGCCTTTAATCCTAGCACTCGGGAGGCAGAGGCAGGCAGATCTCTGTGAGTTCAAGGCCAGCCTGTTCTACAGAATGAGTGCTAGGATAGGCTCCAAAGCTACACAGAGAAACCCATCTCAAAAAATAATAAATAAATAAGGTAGAGAAGAAGTAAGGTAGAGGAATACTCCCAACATCAACCTCTGACTTCCATACTAGCCTGCATAAATGAGTACACAGTCCCACACGGGTACACACACACACACACACACACACACACACACACACACACACAGTGAAAGTTTGTTGTTGATGTCATGTGTTTGTTTATTTGTTGAGACAGACTCTCCCTGTGTAGCCCTGGCCTGGAACTCACTCTGTAGACCATGCTGGTCTGAACCTCGGAGACCCACATTTTCCCACCTGGATGTGGGATGAAAGGCGTACAAGACAGCATCATGCCAAGAGAGAATGTTCTTATGAAATCATAAGCAGAAACCTAAGAGATCACTCTGCCTGAGCTGCCACCAAGGTAGAGGGACAACTCAAAGGGCTTTGTTAAAATGACAGTGACACAAAGAAAATAAAGCTTTGTCCAACTCTTAGACCGTTCCTGTCCTGGCATACATGTGTGTACTCGCCTCTCTGTGTGTTTTCTTTACATACCCCTTATCAGTTGCATGGGTACACACACCAGGAGAGCTAACTTACTCCCATGCTATGGCGGCCACCATCACCAGGTACATCAGGTAGTGAACAGAGCCATCCCAGTAGCAGATCATGTGCCCATAGGCCGTGTTCAGATACGGTTCACCCTAAGGAAAGCATTAAAAAGATTTCCATTTTAAGGAGACTCACATCTTTAAATGCAGGACAACAGATCTGGATTGCAAATAAAACAATAGAACTAAGTGATGTTTGTTAACTGAGCTGAAACCGCTTCCACACAGTTGGTAGGACTGAGAAAAAAAATGACTTTATCCTGGGGCAGCCAAAACCAGGGTCTGCCATGGTGTCAAATAGGAGAGTCCCTAACAAATTAGGATTTGGTTACTCAACCAAGGTTTGTACAACAACATAAAGGCATCAGGTGGCTTTGTGAGCAATCCCAGCCAACTGGGGCAAGGTCAAACTTGCAAGCGCTTGACCCTGGCCGGAAGGGTGGCCCAGGAAGGCCCTGACCACTGGTGCCACCTGCTGACCTTAAGCAGTCATGCTGATCTTGTGGTGGGCTGGGCAGCACATGGGGAAGTGCCCATGTCCAACTCCACACACGGCTTCCTCCTGCCCGTTAGTCGGCCTCGCTAACAGGTTTGTGGGCTGGTCAGGCCCGTCTGTCTGCAGAAGGGAAAGCAAGTTTCAACGCTTCAAGACTTGCCTGAGGTCACATAGCTCCTAAGGAGCAGCACATGCATCACCAACAAGAGCTATTTTTAGTTTCATGAACACAAGATTGTATGATGCACTATGTCCGTTTCCCTTTCCCAGGTAGTCGTGTTTCGGGGCCCCATCAGATATGGATTCGTCAATGTTTTCTTTTTTCCTTCCCCTAGAGCCATGCTCTCCCAGAGTGCGTCTCATGTCTCCCTAATATGCTCGCAGTCCTTTAACTAGGAGAGGTCTGAAACTGTATCAGCCAGCCATGAGACAGTCTATGAAACTCTGTGGCTCTGTTCAGCCACCACATCAGCCACCACCTCTACCCCAAAAAAAGCCACACCCAAACTTCTAGCCCTATGCCTGGCCACTGCCTGTTTCTCGTACCCATGGTGCTCTGACTGCATAATTCCAACTGATCTCCTGCTGCAGCCGTTCCTGCCTACACACTCAGCTCTGAAAGTCAGCGCTGGCCTCTTTGGAGAGCTAGACGGACACCCATGGGCCCTTCAAAGCCACCTGAACTCCTTCAAGTCACCTTCTTCTCCCTTCAGCCAAGCCCTTCCTGGCCTCTACACACCCCACTCAGGCAGCTCTGAGCTCTCCGATGCACTCCTTGGACAAATATCACTTACGTTATGTCCATGCTGTCACGTTAGGTGGCTTCCCTTCTCATCATAGCATAGGCCAGGCCTTCAGAGTCACACACAGAGCCCCTGCTGCATTTCCAAATGGGCACCCTACCCCTCCCTACTCCCCACATACCACACTCCAGCTGCAGTGCAGGACACATGCAGCCCCCCTCTTCCTGAAAGTCTGCAGGCCAAGGCCCCATCTCTTCCACTAGCCCCCCAGTTTTTATCACTGTTACCCCCCAGCTTCCTTGCTTGCACCTACTACCCAAATTCTTGCCAACACTAGTGGGTTGCTATCTTGGCCCCTGAGCGGCATCCTCCCTCCTGAAGGCCCCTCCTCTGGGTTCATGGGTCCCCTCCCCAGGCTTCCTTCTGCCTCTGTCTGCCCACCCACCACTCACTGTCCATCAACCCCCATGGAAGCAACTCTCTTCTCCAAATTGAAGTGTCAACTCTATTTGGGTGACTCCTGAGTCTCTCTGACGGAGCCATTCCTCAGAAGTCCAGACCTGCACAGCCCTGCCAGCTGGGACACTAGTAGATGTCCCTTGAGCACCCAAAACTCCACATGTCCCCGGATGAACTCAGAATTACCCTGCAAACACTCCTGGGGATACAAGCACTACTAGGCCTCCTTTCCAGACATTTGCCCAAGCTGTCCCTTCACCCTGGAAGACCTTTCCCTTCCTATGCCATATAGAGAAGTATGTGTGGTCCTCTCCCAAGACCACTCTGAAATGCTATGGAAACGGCAGCAACTAAGAGGCCTTCCTGGGCGTTCCCAGAGCCCATTCATCTGTGCTGAGAGTCCCTCTGTCGTCACACCCAGGCCAGTGCCATCCTCCTTCACATGAGTATCACTCCTCAAGCCTCCCACTTAGTAACACCAGCATTCTAACAAACCCCCAAACAGGAATTAGGATATCACCTGGGCCTTCCTCTCCATCACCCCCAACTGGACCCCAAATCCCACTCAAAATCCCTAAAACTCACTCTCTGTTTGCCCTGCGCTGCCCCTGGGCATCTTCTTGCCCTTGCTGGCCTTGCAGAAGCCACCTTACGGATAGGATATCCCACTGCATGACATGGTCCCCACACACACAGGCTTGCCTTCTTCTCTGGCTCAAATGCTCCCCTCACACACTCCTGGGGAGACATAAAAGCTCCCCAGTATTTGAAACACAGAAAGGCAATAGACAATACTGTTTTCTCCTCTGCTTCCTGTTTTCTGTGATCTTAAGTAGGTCACTTGGTATCTCCAGGACTGGATTCAGCCCACTAAAAGTTAGAAAACAAGACTGGTTTTCTCAAAAGCTATGGTTTTGTGGTAAGGTGTTAATCGCCAGACTCAGCAAGCTTAAGTAAGTAATTTCAATATAATATATATTAATATAATATATAATATATACAGTCCAGCCTGGCCTGGAACTCACCATGTTGTCAGCCTGCCCTCAAACTTTCAGCAGCCTCCCAAATACTGAGCAAAATTACAGGTATACTAGACTTTGGTACCTGAGATGTTTAAGACGGATTTGGGATCTCTGGGCTTATAATTCAGTAATAGAAACCCAAATACTAAATTCATTTGAAGTTCTTCGCTTAAAGAGTGCAGGAGGTGTGGCAAAGAAAGAGTGGTCTCCGGCCTTCTGTGGTCTGCGGCTGGCTTGTCATGTGCCTGCTGAGACTGGATGAGTGACTGGGGGAACACTCTGACTGACAGCAGCCTGCATTTGAGGCACCCGGTCACAATGCAACCCTTGAGCAACTCCGTACCTCTCTCAGGTAATGTGTCATAAACCCGTCAATGACGCCATCTTGCTCCAAGCCTATGATGAGGTTCACCACGCTGGTAAATCCAAACACCGCATACACTAGAACAAAGGAGGCAGCAGCTGAAAATGAACGTCACGGGAAATAACAAGGAAGGGGCATCCACGGCTATCCTGGAGTGCTGCTCATGTCTTCCCAGAAAATGCTGGGGCATTACCACACAGACAAGCAGGCTGCACCTACCGCACCAGCTGGACATTTACCTGTCTTCATGGACCTCCCTGTACTTACCCAAGGCTCTCACTGGGGGAATTCATGTCAGAGACAAAGAATCATGGTGTCCCAGAAGATTCTTCCAGACTACCTTCACCATCCTCTCTCCCTTCTCGTGAAACCCACAGCCCACCTGAGCAGCAGGAGCTATGGCAGTAACCAAACAGTCAAAGAGACACTCAGGCAGTCTAGAAAAGATGGGTCATCTTAGTGTGGCATGCACGCCAACTGAGAGTGTGTCCAACATTATTAGTCTTCCCTGGAGGTCCTCAAGACAGGTAGGTGGCTGACGTGCAAGTGACAGTCAACAATTAAAAAAAAGGCAGTGACTTCTTTGTTTGTTTCTTTGGTTTTGCTTATTTGTTGTGTTTCTTTTTTTGTTTTGTTTTGTTTTTCAAGACAGGGTTTCTCTGACTGTCCTAGAACTGGCTCTGTAGGCCAGGCTGGCCTCAAACTTGGAAATCTGCCTGTTTCTGTCTCCTGAGCTCTGGGATTAAAGGCATGCATGCACCCCTGCTGCCCAGAAAAAGGCACATGAAGTGCTGGAGAGATGGCTCAGAGGTTAAGAGCGCTGCCTGATCTTCCAAAGGATCAGGGTTAAATTCCCAGCACCCACGTGGCGGCTTATAGCAGTCTGTAACTTCGGTTCTAGGGGATCTGACACCCTCACACAGATATTCATGCAAGCAAAACACCAATGCACATAAAAATAAATAAATTATAAAAAATGCCCATGAGATGGGACACCTGAAGATGCAGGGAGGAAAGCGGCCTCGTCTATGGAATCCAGGCAAAATCCCTAACTAGGTTTTAAACAGCACAAGTGTCCAACAGCTAAGGAGTGTTTTAACAGCTGGCGAGTCCGCTCAGGGCATGTGAGTCCATCAAGAAAACTGCATTCTCAGCCGGGCGCTGGTGGCGCACGCCTTTAATCCCAGCACTCGGGAGGCAGAGGCAGGCGGATCTCTGTGAGTTCGAGGCCAGCCTGGTCTACAGAGTGAGTTCCAGGACAGCCTCCAAGACAATACAGAGAAACCCTGTCTCGAAAAAAACTAAAAAAAAAAAGAAAAAGAAAAAGAAAAATGCATTTTCAAGTTATAATAAATTGGTGTCTGAGACTGTGGAACAGGAAGGGGCAATAGAAAACCCAGTCTGGGTTGGGCAGTGGTGGTGCATGCCTTTAATCCCAGCACTCATGAGACAGAGGCAGGAGGATCTCTGTGAGTTCAAGACCAGCCTGGTCTACAAGAGCTAGTTCCAGGACAGACTCCAAAGCCACAGAGAAACCCTGTCTCAAAAAAAAAAAAAAAGGAAAGAAGGAAGGAAGGAGGAAGGGAGGGAGGAAGAGAGGGAGGGAGGAAGGAAGGAAGGAAGGAAGGAAGGAAGGAAGGAAGGAAGGAAGGAAGGAAGGAAGGGAAACCCAGTCTGTGAACACAAACGCTGTGAGGAAAACAAAAGGAGAGTGGGGAGCTGCCTGCGTGGGAAGCGATAGGAGGAGTGGTCCCTGAGTGTGCTTCCCCAGGCTCTACTGAGTCCTGTGCTGCTTCCGGCTGGTTGATTTCCAGGTGAGGAGCCATCATGTCTCCTGGAAAACGAGCCACTGAGTACATAATCCACTAGCAGCTGGTGACACCCATAGAGGGTCAGACACTGTCTTAAGGTGACAAAGATACAGTCCCTGCCTCCTGCTAGGTGAGGAACCTGCCCAGGGCTGGACCCCAAGGCTCAAGGGTCCTCAAAGCTGGAACAGAACCAAGGACACAAGAGTGGCTGCCATGCTTCAAAGATGGGGGGATGATGTATCAGTGTGGGCTCCCTGGGTGGGGAGGAAGTGGGAGGATAGGCAGAACTGGGAGAATGTTCTCGGACCAGATCAAAACAGTGGGGACACGAATAAGGGCCGCTCTGAAGTCAGAGGGGCACACGACAGGCTTGCGGTGTCCTAAGCCTCATCCGTGTGTGTGCAAACGGAGAAACCGGTCAGTTACAATTCCCTCTCCTCTTTTGCCAAGGCTCGCAGTGGTCAGAGAAGGCTTCCCACGCTTTTGATGAGGGTGCGCAGCCTGTTCTGACCTTAGGATGTAACTGGAAGTGACAGGGGTCAACTCTAACCAAGGCGTTGGGGACATCCCTTTCCTTCCTCTAACCCTCTGTGTATGCTAAATCTACCCGCAGCCAGGAGCAGGGCATCTCACCAACCCACAGGCCAGTGAGCAAGGAAAACAGACACCCATTGCTAGAGACACAGAGATGTGAGGCGTGTTTGACATCAGTAGAAACGTAATGAGTAAAATACACAAAGCGCCTGGCCACAGGAAGTACCGCAAGGCCAGTTACAGCTTTGCCTGAGACAGCGTGTGTAACGAAAGGGGTTTGGTGTTGTTCTCCGTGACCGTGACCACACTTCTGGCCAAGTGGAGGGATGTTCATTGTGAGTATTGAAATTATACTTCTGGAGGGCTCAGAGCCAGGCACATGACGTGCTCAACCAATGGCTTTTTTGTCTTTATTTAATATATATCTTTATCTGTCAGGTGCTGATGGAAGTCTCCAACAAATACTAATATCTGACCAGCTCCCCATGGTATTATTTCCCTCTTTAGACAAATGTGTAGGCCAGCGTTCTCAGCCTGTGGGTCACAACTGCTGATATGCAACAGGAGTTGTGTATCAGATATCCTGAGTATCAGATATTTACATTATGATTCATGCATAGCGAAATTACAGCTATGAAGTGGCAACAAAAATAATCTTATGGTTGGGGGCTACCGCAGCATGTGGGACTGTATTAAAGGGTGGCAAGCTTAGGAAGGTTGAGAACCACGGGTATAGACTGAGACAGGGTAAATTCAATCCCACAGGCCAGCAGCCAGCTGAAGGCAGAGAGCCCAGCCGGGAGGCTGAGGTAAGAGCATGCTGGGGGCTCAACAGGGTGCCTGGAGGAGGCCCGCCTGGCCCTGCCAGTCACTCTCTAGCAGAACTCTATTTAGAAAGTGGACACCACAGCCTTGTAGGGGAGCTTAGAGAGAAGGGCCTTGTCCTGAAGAGCCCTAAACTTCCAGTTTCTGTCAGTCGAGGGCTCAGAACAGTCACAGCCCAGAAGGAATATGTACCCAATGCCCAGCTCCCTGCCAGAGTGAAATACAAACCCTTTCCCTCTGAGGAGCCTACCTACCAACAGACCTACCGTAGAATAGAGGGTCCCGTGGTGGTTTTCTTTTGACAAGGACACGAGCCAAAAGGGCCACCAGGAGCAGGATGAGGGCAGCAACCCCAACAATGGTCCAGGAACTGTAAAAACCAAAGCAGGGAGGCGGTCACTAATCACAACAAACACAATGGTGCCTGGAATTTCCTGGCTATTGAAGGCACTTGCTCCCCGTACTGCAGGAGGCTCCTGGAAGCCAGCCTCAACTCCGACACTGAAAAGTTCCTGCAGTTTGTCTCCAGCATGCTGGCCTCTCTGGGTCACAACCCCATAACACTCATGGACCAGAACTCCGGTCCCTCACTCATTTCTCCTTCCCACCTGTGTCCTGTGCCTGTCTCTCCCCTACCCTCCCTTTTCCCTAATATGGCTGCAGCCTCTATCTCCTGTTTCTCCAGCCCTTCACGGCCTAACCACTAAATCTGTCACCTCCCCTGGGCCAGCCATAAACCCTCAGTGTGATTGCACAAGCCCTCCAGGGAGAGACCTGTAGTTCGAAGTGGGCTTCCCTGGGTGGTAGGCACTGCTGCTGGCCGTATGAGACTCCGGATGAACAAGAGAGGCCTCTGTCTATGTGGAGGTGCTTACCCCCATGAGTTCTGAGCTCTGCTCGCCATAAGGTCACCCTAGTCCTACAGAGATACCTAGATCGCCAACACCGATAGCGCTTTGGATTCTGGACAAATACCTACGTGGCCCTCTCTGTCAGCTACATACACCATCAGCTCCCCACTGCCACTCAGAGATGCTACAAGCACCAGTCCTCAGCGGGGACACCTCCACACACCATGGCCTAAACACTGGGATCTTCAGAGAGTCTTCACCACATACCTCTTGGGGGATGTATGGATGGAAGGAGAGATGATGGACAGGTGAATGAATGGTGAGTACATAAGAGACACGGATAACGGGTGGAGAGGTGGCAGATGAAGATTGGATGGGTGCATGGATGAATTCTGTAGTATGATGAGAAGGAGACTGGTCTGTGTGTCGGGAGGTTTCTGACGCCTCACAGCAGTGGATTCTCCAGGCGCTTCACAGAGGTCCAAAGCAGAGGAAGGAGAAGCAGCCATGGCTCACAGGCGTGATGCTGCTCTCCGACACCCAGGGGGGAGAGAGGCAGGTGGGTGAGCCATATGACAGGGTGTGAGCCTACAGGCAGGTGCTTGTCAGCAGTCATCCCTATCCCTGGACACCGGTGGCTGAGCTCATGGACCTGGGCTCTGATGGAGTGTGACAGGCAGCATGAATTAGTTCAGGGTGTCCCCTCGTGTTCTCAGGAAGACAAGTGAAGAGAGACTGGGGCAGTAGGTCATTTCTGCCTCCCAGCTCTCTTCCTGGAGACCCTCTGGGGGAAAACAGCACATGCCCAAGGCAGGCAGCAACAGGTCTAACTGGGACTCCAGGTGGCGGGTAGAGGGAACTTTGAATAAGCCATGGGTTGTTAGCCTTGACTGGTAGGAAGTTACTCTTTGATGAATCAATCCCCTGGGCTGCCACACAGCCCTTTCTAGGCTGCTCTCCCAGCAAACACCAGGCTAGCCCTCCCTCGCCCCTCCTTCCCTGCTAACACATACCCCAGAATACCTGCAAGGTTCTGTTCCCAGATCTCACCATAACTGAAGTATGTGGGTGCATGTGAGAGACTCCCTAACCCCTTCCTGACCCGTCAAATCTATCTGATCATCCTATTTCTCAGAGTTCCATAAAGGCCTTGGGAAACAGAAGCTCCAGTCATGAAAGACCAACTAAAAGCCTGCTGCACTCGAGGCCGGGCAGAGCAGTACCCAGATGAGCAGCGGCCTGGGAAGGTGACCTCTGGCCACAGGAAGGAACTCTGTGGGGAAAGCGAGCCTTGAGTCCGAGGGGGTTCAAAGCAGAAATGTCTGATCTGGAGGGAGGGAGGACCCACAAAGGAGGAAGTAAATGTCTGATCTGGAGGGAGGGAGGACCCACAAAGGAGGAAGCGGCAGTTTCATTCATGTAGGGCCATCGAGTTAAGTGTGTCTTCAGCATCAGCAATGGGGAGAGAGGAAGGAGGGACGGCCTAGGGACAAGAAGGTGGACCAGGTGTTAAAAATCAGAGAAAGTTGGTGCTCTGGGGGGGCGGGGAGCTGAGGCTCAGAGAGGAGGAGTCTTTGCCACTGTCTGTCCTGGAGGAAGCCAGGGCCAAGGAGAACTCAGTAGACGGCACAGACACTAGAGCAGCCGTGTGGCTTACCAGGAAGGGGACAGGAGGAGGAAGAAAGGGAACAGCTGTGAGGGAGGTATTATGCCTGCCGGGTTTATTTTACAGGAGAATGGGAAGGCAATTCACTCCAAGACTCAGCGCTGACCAGTAACACGCAGTGACACACCAACACGCAATGACACACCGTCAAATCCTCACCACCACCAGCAGCCCTCCCTAGCCAGCTCTTCCAGCAAATACCTGCCTATCGCAATCACTTCCTTCCCCTACCATGCTCACCCCCTCCCATTGCTCACAAAGTTCTGCCCCCAGACCTTGCCATAGCCGAAGCGACCCTGTCTCCAAAAACCCTTGCCTAGTCGGCTTGCTTTGTTGTCCTCATAGCAGGCTATTTTATGTTCATGCATCTACTAGTGTCTGTTTCAGTTCATGGCTCCTCGGCCATTCCTGGGCTGTTCTCAGCTAGTCCTCAGCTTCTGCGAGGGGTCCAAGCTCAGAGGAGTGTTCAATAAGCGTTCACTGAGCTGCTTGTGGTACTACTGTAGCAGCCAGGGTCCCTGTGCACTCTGTGGACAGGGACAAACGTCTGGCTGCCCAGAGCCACTGCTTCAGGAGATGCACCAAAGGTGGGGTTGGTCCAAGGGCAGATGCAGCCTGCGCCTAAGATAGCTTCTCGGTGCTCAAGTTGTCTGGATGAGGTAACCGCAGCAATGAGAGATCATCCACTGACTGTGTGCTAGCAGTCTGGCGGTCTGGAGGGGCTTGCAGGGTATAGACTGATGCAACTTCCTTAGTACCAACTGCTGTGGAAAAATAGAAGGTTACTTCCTCCCCCAGAAGGCAGCAACCAAGCTCAGCAGGGCCGCCTTTGGTGCCTTACCACCAGTCAGTGATCCCTTTGGAGAAGTGGGAGGCCAGACTGGGACCCGGAGTCCTTACAGACTCCTTCGGCTCCACCCGTTTCTTCAGCACCGAACCTTTGCCCCGGGCCAGCATCCAGCCTCTATTCCTTTCGCAGCGCCTCTCCACCAAGTTCTCACAAGACTCTTAGGATGCTAATAGTGTCCACTTGACAGACCACAACACTAAAGCCAGCTCAACTGCAAAGTGACGCTCAGAGAAACAGGAATATTTCTGCTAATCTCTCACACACTTTCTTTAAAAAAAAAAAAAGTAAGCGTGTGAAAGTCCATACATGGAAAACGATCCAAATAAACCAGGCTTGGGCCTTCCGTGTTGCTCTGTACCCTCTGGTGTCTGAGAAACGCGGAGGCAGGAGCATTGCGGTATTGACCTCAGTAATCCCTGCTACCCACCCAGAACCAGCAAAGAGCAGGAGCCCAGTCCTCAGACCTTGAACTGCCCTACCCTAAATGAGGACCCAGGGCTAGGTGACCTGGCTGTCTCCCTCATGCTTCGGGCGTGCAGTTCCTGGACGCGACCCCAGTCCCGCGGGAAAGTTGCAGACCCCGCGCGTGTTCACTCACTCGTGCTGGGCCGCCAGGTGGTTGAAGATGTAGGTGACCGGGATGGCTGAGAGGGACAGCACGAACACCCCGGTGGCCGCAGAGGCACTCATCGCCGCCGCCTCGTCGCTTGCTCTTCACCGCATCGCGCCCGGGTGCCCCCACCCCAGCTTCCGGCGGCGTCGCGCCCCTCGCCGCTGCCCTTCCAGGCGCCCCCTTGCCGCGTCCCCTCGGCGCGTCCCCGTCGCTCGCCGCTGCCCCGCGCGCGCAGTGGCGCCACCCGGGTGCGCTAGGGCCGCGGGTACGATCCAGAGAGGCGTCCCCGCCCGGCTCCTACTAACGAGTGCGGGGGTTCAGAGGCCGCCGCGACGAGACAAGTGCCCCGGGACGCTTGCTCTCAGGGAACAGGAGTGGCCGGGCGAAGGACGCCGGTCACAGCCGGGAGCTGGGCATCCTCGAGCTGGAGTGGCACTGGGCTGAGCCAAGGGCCAGCGGTGGGTGGAGCCAGACCCGAGGGTGTCAGAACGTGCATGCCCGCGAGATCCGCTCAGAGACCCACAGGGACAGATGCTCCAGGAACCATGGAACCTCCCCGCCCCCCAAACAGCCATAAACGGCCTGCAACGAAGGCTCTTGTGCCAAGTGGAAATATTTGGTTTCCACCCTGGCTACTCGCTCAGAAGCTCTTGACCTTGATCAAGTTACTGAAGCATTCTGTATCTTTTCTCTGTGTGTGAAACGGGAGTAGCCTACTTCATTGAACGATTGTGGAAATAACAGAGCTAACAAGTATGAAGTGCTTGCCCTGCACTATTCAGCACACTGGTCTGTCTCCTGTTCCCTTTCCTTTTTGTAGCAGGACTGACCTCAGAGGACCGCCCTGGTGTAGGACCCTGGGGCAGCATTCACTCTTTGCCTTGTAAGAGTTCTTGGAGGCCAGGTCACCACCAGCTAGTCTGGTCCCCAGGGCTACAAAGGCTAGAACACAGGGGCTCTCGTCAGAATATTGCCAGACAGATGGCTGGTTGTAGAGCCTGATGGTGATGGCTGTTCTGCTTGGGCTGGCTTTCTGGTGGGGGTGCTCAGAAAGTCCTCTGGGACTGAGCCTGGTTGGTGTGGCCTTGGGGAAGGGAAGGGAAGTGAGCTCCTGGGCAACAACGGGAGCAGCAGAGTGCATGTCTTCCTGTGTCCACACAGTCTCATTGGGCTCATTTTAAACGGGAGGAAAAGAACCACTGATTGGCAATGACCCGCTCCGGGCCATTCAGTGGCTTCAAAGCCCGCACTCCTAATCCCCGTCCTAGCTTTTCTTGAAAACTCAGTCAACAACGGGCACACAGGGGTAAAGTAAAACCTCTACCCAAACTGTGACATCTCCATAGCTTCTCCCAGGAGTCTCAGGAGGACCTGGACAGCATCCTCTTCCGTGATTGCTCCTTACCTTACGCCTCCTTCATTCCTCTTCCCAGCCCGTCCCCTAGGCCAGCTCCCCGGGCCAGCCCAACCCTCTGCCACCTCCCAGACCTGGCCGCTTTAACCCTCTCTATGTACCCTGAGTCCCTCTGGCTGCCCTGTCTTCCCTGTCTACTCGCTGGACCTCAGTTACTACTTACTCTTCTTTCCCATCTGTGCTTGATTTGTTTTAAATTCAGAATTCTGTCTATGAATATTGTCTGGTTGAGGCTGGGAAAGTAGTTAGTGTAGTACCTGCCTGGTGCTGACAAACCCCGAGGCTCCATCCTCAGGCCTTTCATAAACTGGATTTGATGGGCACATCTGAAATCCCAGCACTGGGAGATGGAAGCAGAGGGATTCAGGAGTTCAAGGTCATCCTCAGCTGCCTAGCAAAGTTCAAGGCCAGCCTGGGACCCTGAAGATCCTGTCTCAACAGTAACAAACAAGGCTCAGGAACATGCCGCAGAGCATGCCATGTGGGAACTGCGCACCATTGCTCTGGGTGGAAGCATGGTGGGACAGAGAGGCTGAGAAGGTGAAGATGGGAGATGATGAGGGCTCCCTTCAGAGAACCCCAAATGCAGGAAGCCATTGTAAGGGTGAGGGAGGGCTAACCTGACAGAGGAGCATTTTAAAAGCCTATGGTGTGGGCAGCTGCCTACCAGAGAGGACCAATCAGGAAGCTCCTACAATGTATCTTGGTAAGAGATGATAGGACCAGAACCAAGCCAATGGCAACGAGAGAGAAGAGGAAACAAATGCAAAAGATGCCAGAAAGGATTGGACAAAGTGGGAGGAGATGGTATAAGAGCTCGCTCTGCATTTTCAGTGCCAACAGTGGCAACTGGGAGTCATAGTCTGCCAGCAAAAGAGGCAAAGGCTGTAGATACAGAGACAGCCTTAAAACAAAACCAACATAGCAGAAGAGTCAGATGGGCAAAGGCTGTAGATACAGAGACAGGCCTTAAAACAAGACCAACATAGCAGAAGAGTCAGATGGGCAAACAGGAGCTGCCTGAGAGGGGTCAGTCAGCGTTGCCACCAGCAGAGTAGTTTGTTAACAGCTACCCTGACAACACGATCAACCAACACCCCAGGCCTGAGAGCTGTCAAAGCCTTAACGTTTATGACAGGCACATTGGACTTGTGTTTTCAGTCGGGTTTTTGTTTTGTTTTGTTTTGTTTCTTGAAGCTGAAAATATAAATAGTAAGTGGGAAGATTTCATAGAAACATTCCCAGGGCTTGTGAGTAGTCATAGTCCAGGAAATATAATCCCATCTGCAACAGGTACCCTGTGGATTAGAAAGGAGTTCCCAACATTGCCTCTTGTTGTCCTCACAGAAGGTCTCTGAAGAATGCAGAGCCATTCGAGGATGGAAACGCTGAGAACACAAAGAAGTTAGCTGACTTTGCTCAAAGCTAAAGGACAGAAAAGACAGATGAACTCATGTCTGCTTTCTGTGGCTGTTCTCAGGATGCCACAGCCAGCCAGCAGCAGAGCATGGGGAACGGCGCCTGAGGGAAATGTGGGTGCATGCATCCCAGATTTGTTTGGTGACTCACTGCTCTGGAGGTCAGAGATTCGCTCAGTGCATCAGTAATTTAAGTTTAAGAGAGGGACAAATCCAGCTTTTAGAAAACACATTCAGAGAACCTGGGGATTTGGCTCAGGAGTTAAGAAAACTGACTGCTCTCCTAAAGGACCCAGATTCAATATCAAACACCCATACTACAGCTCACAGCCACCTGTAACTCCAGTTCCGAGGGATCTGACAGCCTCTTCTGAAATTCATAGGCACCAGGCACACACATGGTGCCTGGTCATACATAAGAGCAAAATACCCATCCACACAATTTTTTTTAAGTGTTAAGGTATGCAGTTGTCTTTTATTTCACAGGTAGCTTTCTGTTTGCTTTTTTTTTTTCAGTTTAAATTTAGATAAGAAACAAGGTTGCTTCACAAGTCAGTTCCAGGTCCCTCTCCCTTTCCCTCCCCTCCTCCCATGCCCTCTCCCAACCCCCCCCATTATCCCCTCATTTCCCCAGGGAGGGTGAGGCCCTCCATGGGGGTGTCCATAGTCTGTCATTTCATATAGGGCAGGGCCTAGACCCTCCCCCCCCAGAGTTCATGGTGAGAGTGCACCTCACATTGTTGGATGGGAGTCCAAAGTCCGTGTGTATACTCGGGATGGGTACTGATCTACTGCCCAAGGCTCAATAGATTACCTAGGCCTCCTCACTGACACCCACATTCAGGGGGTCTTGATCAGTCCCATGCTGGATTCCCAGGCTGATGCCTGGGATTCAAGAGTTAACCCTTGTCAGGTCAGCTGTTTCTGGGGGTTAAACCAGCCCAGTCTTAATCCCTTTGGTCATCAGTCCTCCCACTCTGTTACTGGCTTTCTTGAGTTCAGCTCAGTACTTAACCGAGGGAGTCTGCCTCTTCTTCGATCAGCCACTGAATGAAGTTTCTGTTTCCCAGACTCTCTGGCCATGGGATTGTAGGCTGGCACTCCCAAGATCTATGTCTAAAATCCATATATGAGAGAGTACATGCCATGTTTCTCTTTTTCTGACTGGATTACCTCACTCAGGATGGTTTCTTCTAGTGTCATCCATTTGCCTGCGAATCTCAGGATTCCATTGTTTTTTTCTGCTGAATAGTTCTGTTTGCTTTTTAACAAGTATCAATCCTGTAAATCATGAGTGCTAAGACTCTAGCTGTAAACAAGCACCAGATTGATTCCAAGTGTCCTGGAGGTAACGGAAATGGAAATCTACCACCATTTTTTAAGCCTTTTTTTTAATTACTTTAACTTTAAATAGCTTGCTTCACATGTCAATCCCAGTTCCCTCTCCCTCCCTTCCTCCCATAGCTCCCACAGCCCCCCCCAGCCTCCCACCCTATCCCCACTTCCTTCCACATAGGGGATATCCAAAGTCTGTCATTTCACTTAGGGCAGGGTCCAGGCACTCCCCTAAGAGTCCAAGCTGAGAGAGCATCTCTCTTTGTGTTATGGACACACGAAGTCTGTTTGTATGCCATGGATAAATACTGATCTGCCCAGGGTTACATAGGTTGCCCAGGCCTCCTCACTGACTCTCACACTCAGGGGATCTGGATCAGTCCCATGCTGGCCTCCCAGCTGTCGGTCTGGGGTCCAAGAGCTCTCCCCCTGTTCATATCAGCTGTCTCTGCTGGTTTTGCCAGCCCATTCTTTGCCAATTTGCTCATCGCTCCTCTCTCTCTGCCACTGGGTTCTTTGGGTTCAGTTCAGTCTACCACCATTTTTTGTGGCATCACTTCAACAGCTGGCTAGTGAGGAGTTAAGATGAAGGTTCCCCTCAGCACACCTGTTTCCACCAGTGACAAGAAATAAGAGCAAGAATCTAAAGGAGCATGGTCACACAGGAACTGAGAAGTCACATTTATCAATCAGGGATGAGGTCCCTCAGATAGACAGTCTTCCGAAAACTGCAACAAACATCAGTCAACCTTTCACTTTTTAGTGCCCTAGCCCTGGGGCCTTCCCTCTCCACCTCTTTTCCTGTGTTTCGTTTTTTAGTTGAGTTTGTATGACTGGGTTTGTAGCTCAGTGAAAGAGCGTGTGTCTAGTGTATACAGGCCCTGGGTTTGAGTTCCAGTATTGCAAAAGGAAAAGAAAAAAGACGAGCATATGTTCTTACAGAAGTTTGCATGTTCTAGACGAGAGTGCATGAGGCATTCAGAGGGCTCCGTGGGGACACTGTGGCAAAGCAAAAGACATGAAAGTGGTCAAAGCAAGGACTGTGTGACTCATGGGGTGGGTAAAGAGGACACCAGCTGATGACAGAAACCAAGAGAGAATAACCCACCACTTCCCTTCCTAAACCTCACGACCGGGAGAATCACGACTGGGAGTGCATGTGACTGCTTAACTCTACAGTTGCCACGAATGGGCTGAAATTATTGATAAGGATCCTGGGGGGGGGGTAAGGTTGCTGTGTGTCCAGTCCACAACAGTGCCTAGCTTAGGACATGCGCAGCACTGACTGCGGAGAAGAAAGG